ACCTGAGCACATGCTGCCTTTTCCCACGTTGAACCCCGCTGGCTCTGACTGTGCCCTGCTGCTGTAAAGAGTGCGTGGAGCCTGGGCTGTGGCCAGCCCAGCAGCGAGGACCTACGGGATGCACACACCAAGCTGCTGACACGGCTCACACAGGCCAAGTTTGCACCCAAAGAGATACAGAATCTGGCACATAAAGGTCTCAACCATTTTTACTTACAGCTGCCATTAACTGCAGTAAAAGAGGTCTTGATCACAAACAGATGTGGGAAACTACAAGCTTGAATCCACTGCCACAAATTTTTTAAAGTAAACTTCTAAAAGTGAAGCACTGAAAAATGTGGAAGCTCACCCTAAGCAATAAATCATCAAAAACAGAAGGTAACCTCTGTATGTTAGTTAAGTTCTTGCTCTTCCTCAAAAGAGAAAAACATTACAAATCTGTTAAGTGTTCTTCATTATCATGGGCCTGTAGAAACTAACAATAAAATAAACAAAAAAGCATTCTGAAACAAACAAAAACAAAGCATTCTGGTGACTGCACAACACTCAGAAAGGAAATTTTGCATGTGTGGATTTCTGTAGAAGTCCACTACCTTCTTAGAAATTTGAGGGAAAGAAAAAAGAGGAAGAGAGGTAAATTCAACTTTACTATTTTCCAGAATAAGCCTCTTGATAAATTCCTCCTCACCAAAACTCTTTCCAAATCCCACTTCTCTTTCAGATACCAATTTACAAACAGTTGTAAAATATTGCAGAAATTGAGGTTTTTCTGGCAAAGTAGCAATGATGTAGAGGTATTTTGTTATAAAACCAATTCCTAACGGAAAATAATTTCTCCACCTGTTTTTGAAAAACTGGATTTGGGTGTGGAACTTGACTTAGAAAATTCAAAAGCATGATTTTGAAGGCAGACTGGATGAGTATTTCCTTATGAAGTACATAACATAGGCAGACGTCAAACAGTTCCACTAGTACTAAAATTTCCAGTTAAATTACTCTTTAAGATTTCATATCCCTCCTGTCTTCTTTTTTTTTTTTTTTTTTCTCTCTCATACTGTCAGAAACAGGGCCTGGAACAGTGAAAACCGCACACCTCTTAAAAGCTTAAAATAGCCCACAGCTGATTTAAAGGTTCTAAAAGTTCTTGATTTATTCAAGTAGCTTTACCCACTTCAAAAAAATAAAATGTTTCCTGAATTTCTATCAATATGAGGATGAAAACAACTTCCACACAAAACACAGTAACTAAGACACAGCATGACATGATTTTTACAGTTCCTAAAAGTACCAGTGACAAAGTAAATGCTTGTTAGAGACACGAATTTGCACTTTGAGACCTGTCACTGACACATATACCCAAGCAGGATGGAAGGGCTCTCACTTGAAGAACAGTGAGAAATAAATTTGAAGTGTCAAAAAAGTTTCCTTTCAGTGCATTACTCTTTGTCACAATTTATTTAATAAAAAAAGGCACATTTGGCAACACTACCAATTTGAGAAACCTTATGGCTTGCAGGAATACTAAGGAATAAACACCCAGCATTCTCTCTTCACAACACAGATAACCAGACTATTGTTCTTTCATTCTAAAATGGCAAAAATATCATCAGAGTTCTCTACTGTGAAGGGTTTTTCCCATCCCACTGTCACATCCATAAATGTCTGTATGCCATACAACTTCAAACAGTCTAACAACAAAAACATAATAGCTGATCTAATACAAAATAAAATTTCAGAAACAAAGAATCACCCTATCACGTTTAATACTCAGTCATCATCTTTAACCAAGAGACCATCAATGAGCATGACTCCAGGATAACAGACCTGTAAAACAGCACACTTCAGAAAGTTGTTTTATCCCAGTCTGTCCAGTTGTTTTGAATGTGCAGACATCTATTACCCATCAGCCTCCCCAGTGAAAACTTACTTCTCAGACTCTGTCCATAAAAAAGGCCAAGAGTAGAGTAAAGCATAAAAAGGAAACCCATAACTGCTCACAAATTTGAAGACAGCTTGCCCATTTGAAACTGCGGCATTGCACTGACAATGGCCCCACATGAAAACCAAAAAAAGATAAAAATAAATAATGCATGAGGTGTTTTCTGTGTTCCAACAACAGGTTACAACTCTACACTTGACACATGCCACAGTTTGCAGAAGAAGAGAGACAGAACACACATGCACCTTGATGCAACAAATGAAACAACCAACCAACAAAGATCTCCCGGGTTTTTTTGCAAATATCTACTAAGATGCAAAACTTATCTACATTGTATGCACATTTTAACAAGTACACACGCACTTACTATTTCCATCAAAGCTTTTCTTCCAATCCATTAAAAAAAAAAGCACACTGAGAACAAGGCACAAAACCCACACATCTCTGACCAAAAAGTTTACTGCAGCCTGTGTTGTTATAGATGGAGAAATCCGTACCATCAGAGAGAGCTGCATCCTGCTACACTGCACACCACTGATGCTGGAAGAATTAATCATTCACAGATCAACAATTGGTTCTTTCATCTCCCTGGCTTTCTCAGATCAGACCATTATGTATTTTTTTCCACCTACTGGTTCTGTTACACTCCATTTTTCAGCTGGATGTAGCAAAGACATCTGAAAAACATTCCTATTTCTAGAATGTACCTCACTGAAGGAAACCAGTGAGAGTACCTATATGCTTCCACGGGATTCACAACTTTACCAGTGTCAAGAAGTGACAGAACATTAAATTCTGCACTAAAATCACAATGTAATAAGCTGTGAAAAAAATGTGGACGGCAAACTGAAGGGCACCAAAGTCCTTCTTTCTGGCTTTCTACCAAAAGCCTCATGGGTTTGTTCAGTGAACAAACCCATGAGATAGCTGACCTTTTAGCAAGTAAAGTTTTAGGACTAAATACTTCAGCTAATCAAAAACTAAATTACACGTATACATTAACTCAGCCCACATCTTTAAAATAAAGCTGTATTCTGGCCAGGGCGAACGGCACCACATTCAGCCACGACTAAACCAAGAGAACATGGCTTTTTTAATATCTCTGCAGAGAAAGACAGGGCAAGGCAGTATTCATGATGAGCACTGCGCCTCATCATGACAGTAACGGAAGAAAAAGTCACTGGAAGAGAAGGTTGTCATGGGAAACATTTCTCCCACTTTTATCGCGGGCAGGGTTTGTCCTTTAAACGCTCACCCCTGCAGAGGCCTGGCAGGTGACATCCCGGCAGGTGACGTGAGCTCGGCACAGCCAGCCCTGCCAAGGGCGAGGGACGCTCCCCTGGGGCACAGCCGAGCCCCGGGTGTCCGAGCCCGCCGGGACTGCCCGTAATGTCACCTCACGATACTCTGAAGGGCGAAGGGTCTCGGCAGCGCAGACCGGGGCTGCACAACTGCACCCTGCCAGAGGATGCGGCGCGGTGCGAGGATGCTCCCAGCCCCCGCTGGAAGGGTCCCGCACAGCTCTCCCCGGGGACAGCAGCAGCTCTGGAGGCGGAATGTACCGCGGCATCCCCGTGAGCCCCGCGGCCGCAGGGACCAGCACAAACCGCGGCGGACCGGAGGGACACGGTGCCGGGGCAGCGGGACCGGCCCCGCCCGCGGGGAAGCCGCCGGGGCAGAGCCGTGCCCGCCGCAGGGAGCGGAGGGGAGGGGAAGGGAAGGGCTGCGGGGGCTCCCTGGGGTGCCCGCCCGCGCTCACCGTCGATGTTCTCCCGGTCGCTGATGTGCTGCAGGTTGCAGCCCGTGTCCTCCCGGCTCAGCTCGGCCTCGGGGCGGTAGGACTCCAGCCGAGAGTGGGCATTCCGGCGCAGCTTGGGGCTGGAGGAGACGCAGCAGGACGTGGTGTTCCCCATCTTCTCTGCCCGGCCCCGGCCCGGCCCGGCTCGGGAGGAGGCGAGGGGCGGCCGGTCAGCGGGGGTGGCGGGAAGCCATGGGCGGCAGCGGCGACAAGAGGGAGCGGCGGCGGGGGAGGAGGCGGCGGCTGCGGCGCCCTGCGGCTGCACTCGCCGGCGGTTCCCCCCGGCGGCTCCTCCGCGGGCGGGCAGCGCGGGGCCCGCCGGGGCACAGCCCCATCCTCCCCCGCCCCCGCGCAGCCGCCGGGCCCGCTCCGCGCACGCACCCACGCGGCAGCGTCGCAGCCTCCGCGGCAGCGACACCGCAGCAGCAGCGGCGGCGGCAGCAGCAGCCGCCCCGGGCGGCCCCCGCGAACCGGTTCCGGTTCAAGCGGGCGGTGACGCCTCCCGCCGGGCGGGCTGCGGGAGCGGCGGCGGAGCCCGGCTCGGCCGAGGGGCCGCCCCGGCTGCCTCACGACGGAGCCCCCCTGAGCCGCGGCCGCGCAGCTCCCGGCGCGCCGGCCCCTGGCTCCCCGGCCCTCCTCACTCGAGCGTCTCGCACACGGACACGGACGCTCTCCCACCGCCGGGAGCTCAGCACGCTGGTGCCGGAGGGAGCGGGCCCGGCAGGCCCGGGGGCTCTTCGGGACCCCCTGTGCTCCTGCCCGCGGCGGGGACCCCGCGGGCCGCCCGGATCTAGGCCGGAGCCCGAGCCTGGCTGGCCCCGCGCCTGCCCCCGCCGTGGGGACCCGCATCCAGACGGAGAGAGTCACCGGTGTCCCAGAGACTTGTGGGGACTGCAAGAATTCTTGAGAACTTGTTAAACTCTCCTGTGGACTGACCGTTCCAAAGATAACAGGCCACAGAGCAATGAGAGGGTGTTGAGTGCCCCCTTGTACCACCTTCCCTGTGCTTAGGGCTTTCCCAGTCAAAATCCACTTTTGCCCTATTCAAAGTAATGTTAAAGATGGGGATGGTGCATGGCTTCATTAGTCGTTGTTGGTGGGTTGGTATTTTTTTTTTTGTTTTGTTTTGTTTTGTTTTTGTTTTTTGGTGGGTTGGTGGTTTGTTTTTTTGTTTGTTTTGTTTTTGTTTTTTTTAAATCTTTGTAATTAAGCAAATCTCTTGACTGCTGGAGGTCTGAGTCATGGTAGTTGAATGGCCTTTGTAATCTAAGCAAATCTCTTGACTGCTGGAGGTCTGAGTCATGGTAGTTGAATGGCTACACTGATAATTTGACAACAGAAAAGCACTTTTCTGTGTTTATAAAAGATGCTTTGACTTACAGCCCTGCATCCAGGGAGCCATTACTTAATCTATCAGGCATCTCATGATATCTGATGTTTTCACAAGATCTGCTCAAGTCAGATGATTACATGAAAGACTTAAGTTTTTATCCTACTTTTTTTTCAGATCACACATTGCAAAGAAAATCAAATTTTTAATTTTCAACTGCCTTTTGAATGTTTATTGATGCAAATGTACTCTAGTGGGATACAAAGAATCAAGAAGAAGGAAAAAGAATGTGAGGTTTTTTTCAAAATCACACTGTTTTGGGAATGTTTTCTGTAACTAGTTTTGTGACACTCCCTTCCCCAAGCATGGATGGGCAGTAGATTTGGAGTTATATCAGTAGATTTGGAGTTACATCATCCCTATGTGTTTGAGTAACTCAAGATAAATTAAGGATAGGTTTAGCATCTTTTTTTGTGTTAGTGTATTCAGTAGTTTGCATCCAGACAAAAGGAAAGTCTTTGCTGAGCTCTGGTTTAGAAATGTTCTCTGGGAGGATGTCATGCTAACTAGTGCCTTCCACCACCATGCCATCGCTTGCCCTCCACTGAAGCTCACCTGCTCTCCAGCTGAGCCTGAGCCTGCTTAGACCAGGCCTGACCTTAACCTGGCAGCAAGGTAGGTTAAATCTGAAACTGGCATAAGCAACACTCAGAAAATCTCAACACAATTTTTAAAGAATCAAGTAATCTCAGTATATATAGAACAGAACAGTACGATATTACCGAAACACCTGCCTTACCACATCTTGCAAGAGGACCTGAAGCCGGTGAGATCTCCGTGGAAGACTTGTCTGACCTGCCCTGTTAAATTCCACCTTCCTGTAAGAATCAGGGACATGTGCTCATTTCAACCTGTGTCACGACTCCTAGGGCACCAGTGCCATTGTCTTTTAAGTACTTTTTGGGTAATGCTAACTGGGCAACTGTTGTCTTGCAGTATCAAGCCCACTACATTTTTTCATAAACATTTCATAACCCCTTATTATTTAGAAACTTGTAACAATTGTAAATGCAGTAAATTGTAAATGCAATTTATACTTATTCTGCAATTTTCACAAGCTCTGAAACAAAACAGGCCATATAATGATGGAGATGGGTTAATTACGAAGCTTGCTTCTCTTAATGTGTAAGTAGAGCTTAAAAAGACGTTTTCTTTATTGGAAAGGATTGATTTAAACTTTGTGTTTTATTTAGAACTAATATTATAAAACTAAACATTGTAATTGCCTTAATGTATTTAAAATTTGTGATTATTGGCTGTGACTATGTAATCCCTAGATTTAATCACTAGATGTGACTATGTGATCACTAGATGGATGTCCTTTAAGGTTTCTTCCAACCCAAACCATTCTATATTCTATCCATAATTCTATTATTCTGTATGGCTACCTTTTTTCTTACTCGCAGTCTTTCATTCTAAATTTTTACCTTTATTCCTCCTCTTTTCACTCTAGGAGCTTGCTGAAGTACATTATAATGACAAAGGTGCTACAATATATATTTCAAATCAAAGAAAAGGGATGCTGCTCTAGGGTAATGGTCTCCTGCTGGTATGTAAGAGCTGAGAAGAGGTGAAATATATACCATGAAAACATATTTGGGGTTTGATTATGATTATTTCAGCTATCTGAAGTGCATGATGCAAATGTAACTGCATTATTTGATAAATATTCATACAGTAAAGCAGGAACAGCTCACTGTACCTTACTGACATGTTTAGAAATCAATACATGTCCTTCTCTGATTAGAGATTATTCTGTTCCTGAGATTTACAATTTATGTATTTTAATGAGTTTGTCCTCTGGAGCAACTGCATCAGCTGAGGAGCACCACAAAGCTCCCTAAACTAAGGCCGAGGCTTTCACGATTGGTCAGTGCTGGCATATCTGTTTAAAAAGTGCCTATTCCTGCACAACAATATTTTAAATCTGTAGCATCTCCACTGCACAGAAGACACTCCACTATAGAAAAGACAGTGGATTTTAATAGGCTAAAATTAATTATGTGACCCATTAAATTTTGTGCTTGAAATCTTCCTGGAACGTTGTCAAAAAATGTGTTTCAAACCAGCAGATATAGGTCAGTGTTTTGCTTATATAAGCTTTCTATCTATTTTGAGCAGATAAAAATTAAAAGTATTATTTAATCAAAAAGTATTTCCTGCTCACAAACCAAATTATTTGTGAAGCACAGTTAAAAAAAAAAAAATAAAAAAAAAAACAAATGCAAAACCTTAACATAGATGAGTGGTGATAACCAGATCTTTTGGTTCTGTTCATCTTTCAAATACAGCCTGAGAAATTCGTGTCACACAATGCCTTCCCCACACCGCCATCTGATGTTTAGTTGGAGTTGTACTCGCAATTTGGATGTACAGCCACTCTAAAATGCCATTGTGTCAGTTTTCTCACAGAGCTAGTCATTGTCTGGAGTTTAAGCAAAAGCTTAAAATTAACATTCCCATGTACAAAGTGTTCAGCCTGGTCAACTGAATCATACCCTAGACTTTGTTGATTGTAATAGCTAAATTTTTTTTGATGATAGCAGTAAATTCCAAATCGGTTAAAACCAGTCATGAACACACCTGAGGAATGTTATTATCCCTCTGACAATTCTTATTGTTACTATTTGCATTTATTGTACCAAGCCTGAATTCAGTAGTATGAGCAGACTTCCTTCCTGAAGGCAAGTTCAGAATGCATGACACTTGATTCTGAACCAGGCTGTCTGGCAAAGCTTTTACTGTGCTGCTGCTCAAGGGAATGCATTAATGGATTACGTCTTAGATTCCCTCCCACAAGTATTTGCATAAACTACTCCTATGGCAGATTTCCCCTTTGCTGAAGGTGTTGATTCTTCCAGGACTAAGACAGTATTCTCTTTCTTTGAGGCAGAAATCCAGTGCCTGCCAGAAGACATCCTTTCAGCCCTGACACAAGTTACCTGCCAGCCCCAACCCTGAGCCATCACCAGAGAGAGGTGGAAGGTTCTGTACATGGCAGATAGCTGCAGCTACTGTTCACAGGAAAGACACCCAGACCTAACAAGGAGTGTGTAAGAGATGGGACCTGGTTTAAAAACACACAAATGGTATCAGTGGAGTTACTCCTCTGGTGAATGGCACACTTGTTTCTCAGGAATCAAGTGCCCTACTGGAACCAGTGAGAAATGGGGAAAGAGTAAATAAAGATTTCTTTTGAAGATCGAGGCAGAAAATGGGGCTATTTGATTAATGTATTCAACTTCAGTGCATAAATTGGGATATTAGTCTCATGCTAGCCCATGAAGGGATACTGTTCTAGGCAAGAATGCAAAGCCCTAAGTCACACTCCTACTCTGAAGTGTGTGGCAACCAGAGGACTCTGCCTATTGCTACTTACTATACAGGAGGAAACAACTGCTTCAAGAAGGAAGGGGATACACCAGAGAGCAAGTGTTGGAGTACTGCCCAAAACATAAAAGCCCAAATAAGTGCATATAATCTTATATTACAATCTTTTTTATTAGTGCCATGTTTCTCACCAGCTTGAAATCACTGCAGAAAGAGGCAGTTTCCCCACAAGTAGGAGAAGATTGTTCATGGTTTTAGGGGAAACACTTGAAGAACAACTGTGCTAGAATATTTTAGATATACACACACACACACACACACACACATATATATATATATGTAACTGTTCTTTTTGGTTTTATTGTTTCTCCAGGGATTGAACAAGATAAGATCTGCACTCAGAAGCAGCCAGAGACCCACGCATTACGCTTATGGGGGAAGATCACCCACACTGCACAGACGTGCAGTGAGCTTTGGGAGGGAGGAGGCAGTTCAGCAGAGTGTACCATGGATGCCCTTGCATTGTGGAGGAAGGCACAGGCAATTGGATTTAACCAGCTGGGTGGAATTTGATTTGATTAGCTTTGGCACAGTTTCACATACTCTCAATTCATCAGTGAATGGAGTAACTATATTGGAAAGCTGCTGGGGAAAAACAACATTGCCCCTGATGCTACTGTCACAGGCAGATAGAGCACAATCCCATACAGGCTCCCTCTGTGTTTTCCTCTCTTCATTGTCTCCCTAGTTCGTTTTTTTGTGCCAGTGTGTGTCTTCCTGTATCAGGATTGGCTGCCTTTTCTTGGTCTGAGATCTTGGCATGTAAAGAGCAGTAATTACTCCATGACTTGACTATGAGCAAGGGTGGGAGTGCCCCCTCTTGAACAATAAAACCCCTTGTAGAGAAAAGCCTAACTAAACAAAACAAAATGTGTAAAACCAGGCAGTGCTGCCACAAAGCACTTTGCAAGCTAGAGAGTCTATATGGAGTATGAATAAGAGCCTACTGTGTTTTAGTCTGTCCTGCCTGTGAAAGATCCCATTCTATAAAGGGGTACGTGTTACTCTCTTCTCATTTCATACAAGTCTAGGCAAATACAACTTCTTTAGTTTCAATGAAGCTGTGCCTAATTCTCCACCAAGAATGAGAACTGAACCAGGCCCAGCAATTCAGGACAGCATGTTCATACAAAGCCATCTTCTCCCAGATTCATCTTGAAAAAATAACATCCCCTACTTTTATCAACTGTCAATACCTCGTAATTTTGAGTATCAGTTGTGGCCGCTCACAGTTAAAAATATTTTTGTGTAGTATGAGCTTACAAGTCCTGTAATATGAGCTGATAAAGGGTAATATGCAAGTGATTGAAGTCTTTTGAAACATGGCTCACCAGAAGATCATGTGTTTATCATGTGTCAGGCTGAGCTCTCTGTATGAAGAAGAATATGAGGGAAGTTTATGGCTTTATCTTACAGCTCCCCAGAAGACCATCCTTTTAAAGCAGAATTAAAAAAAGCGTTTTGTTTGAAGGATAGATCTGAAGTTATAGGTTTCAGAGACAGAGAATCAAGCTAAATATGGTGAGCTGTACAGATGAATCTCAAGAATTATTCCTGTGAAACACATTCTCAAGCTAAGTTCCCCTAAGTATTAACATCTGTCTTGAGTGAAAATAGACTTTCATCAGTTAATTTTCAAATCAAGAGGTGAAATTAAAAAGTGAGAAAATTCTCAGTATGAAAATTAAATTGAAGCACCCAAGTTTTCTATTGAAAAGTGTCCAGGCATGAGCCTTTTTGATTTTTAGCAGGGTACTACAATTGTGAATACCTGTAGGAACTCAATTGGGACTGCAGAGAGGCAAAAAAGTCCCATGTATATGTCTAGAAAGTACAGAAAATGGAAATATGGATCTTCAAGGTAAAGAACTAAAATTAATTAATGTACTTAACAAATGATCAACAGATATGTAATTTTGAGTGTGTACTTCTTACAGATTTTGTTCTACTTCCTCAGGTCCTATGTGGAATTAGGCAGGACATTTGCCTTTGAAAAACAATGCAAGATTGAAAACTATACATGAAAAAAAGGCCAAAAGATTTTATTGTGAATTCTGTCCACCATCAGTGGTCATTGATACCAATGTTCTTTGAGTAGAAAGGCTTCAAAATCAATAAAAGTAATTAAAACATTTTCTCTTTGTATTCCGGAGTTCTTTCCCTCTCAATGAAAAAGTATCCAGGACATAAACAAGCCTACAGAAATAAAATAGAGGCTTCCATGTCAACATTTAAAAATTTCCCCTCAAATACAGCAAAACCTGGCACAATCCTTAGATTAAGTTTCTGTTGGGGAAAGGGGGGGAAGAAGAAAGTTTTCTCCTTCAATCAGATGAAACTCATGGGTTTTTGTTATCACATTTAAACTACAAAACCACAGAGACAGGACTAATGACTGTTTTATTTTTGAGAATAACCACCCAGAGATTTGCCCACAGTTAAGGAACCCAAATTCATTTTTCTGCTCCATTGCAGACTGTGCAAGGCTTTTGAAAACCATTTAACCCCTATATCTCATATCCCTTTCAGTGAATGGGCATCATAGAACCTCACTATATGAAAGGGTTTTTTTTAAGACTAAAATCTTCAAAACAGCAAGTTGTTCATGTGTTACAGGAAGGGAGGCAAGTAAATAAAATGGAGAGATTACTCAGTAATCACAGATGTGCTGTCCTCCCATGATGCTCCTGACATGACCACCAACACTGCAGGATGCAGGCAGTGCCTAAACCATCATTAAATTATTAAATTCTTGTCTGTTGTAATACATTTTTCCACTTGTGTAGCTTATTAACTTTGCTGTCACCATCACTCAAGAAGCAGATACATCAGCTGATAGAAAAAAAATGCCAACGTGAGGATAGCAAGTTCATAGGTTAAAAAAGTCTTTCCTCTATAAATAGAGTTGGTATAAATCACAAGAGTCTGCAAAATGGGCCTGGGAAAATTAGCTGCTGACCTAAAAACACATCCTGTTGGCTGTCTGGGAATCCATTTCACACAGTTAAAAGTGGCAAGAATTAAAGCAGCTAAAGAAGCAGGATTTTGTGGTGAAATAAAAAATAAAGTGTCCTAGCAATCATGAAAATAACACCAAGTGCAGCCAATAAAAATACAATTATACTATTGTGCAAGTATTCTAAACAATCAAAAGGCAAAAAGAGACATACTTTTGAAACTCTTAATGAGGAAGTAATTATTATATGTTTTCAGTGTCCTGCAGTCCTTGTGGCAGCTCTGGAATTTCAGCAGCTGACCAGCCAGCAGGCCCCATGACCTGCAGTTGCATCTGGCAATGTGTGGTTAAAACAGGGAACTCAGTACAGCCATTTCTGTAGGAAACTGCTGACTAACATTGGGAAGAATCTAGTCAATTTGAATTATACTTCAAATTAAAGAGAATATAATTAATGAAGACATTTTTATCTCAAGTAAGGAACTAGCTTGCTGTTTTTCATTCAAAGTTAATGCTACCCTTCACTGCTGGAACTCTTCAGCTAACACTTCACCCAAGTGTCCTCTGCTGTCACTCAAAAAATGCCCCTTAGGGAGTGCTTCAGGAAATAAAATCAGTGCATTGAAACAGGTATTTTCTTAGGCCCAGCTCATTGCATCACCAGGTTTATTGCAGCATACTTCTGTCGTGCTCATGCATGTGACACTTCTGTAACACCAATTAATTCAGGGATGAGTGTCTCTTTACTTTAAAGCTACTTAACTGGAAATTATTTGGAGACACCAGATTTTTGCATTCCAGGAACTTTGAACTGTCACATAATTTGACAATTAAGGTCTAAAGAGTACATAAAAACATATAACAAGATATGACTATAAATTTTAGCCCTCTAGATAAGCTTAGCTCCAAACAGAAAAGAAAGGTCTCCTCAAATTCATTTTGAAAACCAGAAAATATCTTGTGTAACGCAGGACAGAATATCTGTCTATAAGCATATGCCCATTTTCTTAAAATTTTGTAGTAAAACTCCTAAAATTGCAGAATTACCTTTCCAATAAATGTCAAAAACACATCAAAAAATACTTGTTTGTTTCTGTAATCTCTCAGTTAAAATAATTTCTAATACTGGGTGAGTTACATGAATTATAAAATTTGGTACAAGATTGCAAAGCAAACTTTCTTCTTTGGAGTGCTTAGGCAACTCAGGTCAGATATTTGCAGCTGCCCCTTAAAGTCTGAAGACCAGTGAAATGCAATCTTTGGACTCTAATTATGTATTCAAGCTTACAAAGTCTCTAACCTCAACCTTAATTGTCTTTGTCCAAAATAAAGTTGCCAAAGATACATCTCACTGTTTTTAATATGGTTGGATTATCCATAAGCAGAATACAGTATTTTGTCTGAGTCTGTTAATTGGTTTCATAATTTCCCCAGTTGTTCAGACAGAGTTATTTTAAGATTTCACAGCTGGTATGGGATTGCCTACATAGCTAAAATATGTGTCTTGGTAATGGCTAATATTTCTAATCAAATATGTCTTGGTAAAGTATTTAGGTTCAGGATAAATCATGCTGCTGCCCACAGTGTAGCAAACAAAAGGAGAAAAAATTATACATGATGTCATGCAAAATAAATTTTCTATAATTCATCTAGAGCATTAGGGCTCCAAGACTCTTTGAGTTAGATCTATACCCTTAATCATGCATAATCCCATTGATAAGAGTTTTAAAAAGTGCCAAAAACAAAACAAAAAACCTAAACCAGCTTTGCAGAGCTAAACTTCCCAGAACATCGACTGGGAGAAGTAGAAATACAACCACTGAGTAAACTGCCTCACTGCAAGTGCTCACTCTTCAAGATATCCTGCTTTTAGATGTGCTTAAACTTAATGTACAATTTTGCAGGTGCCATCAAAGCAGTAAATGTGTCAGGGGCCCGTGTAGAACAGTGCATCACTAGAAACTGCATAGTAGAGTCTGTCCCAAGGAGAGTTAAATCACTCTGGCCCAGTGGCTGCAACACTTGAACAAATGTACGGGGATCATTTCAGAAGGGATTCTTGCCACTCTGAGCTTTGGAGGTAAAGGCCTCCTTTCCAGTGAAAGTAAACAAGATCCAACAGCCTAAGTTTCACTTACATCACTGAAAATCTCAGTTTACTACAGATGCATCCAATATGCAGAACATCTTCCAGATCCTACTAAGGGCACACAGTCCTTCAAAATGGCCAACACTTTCAAAACTGCCCCCCTTTCCTTTCCATGGGACCAGCACATAACCAGAGGAAGGAAGATCCTTGTCTGCAATTCCTTCTCTATGCACACGAGTTGGGAACTTTTGCTGCCCCGATGATAGTTTCTCAATTTTTATATTCATCTCCTCAAAAACACAAGATATACCGACACTCACTCTGAATCGTGTGTTCTCTGTTATAAAACCAGCTGTCCTGATCTCTCACATGCAGGATCATGTCTGTTCCCCTCTGCCCACATTGTTATTTGTATGGCCATACAGGAAGCTCAATCAGCCTGTTCTGCTTGAAGCTAAATCAGGCAAAGTTTTCAGCTAGTGTCTAACCCAGCTTACCATGTAATTGTGCTAACATTATTACTGGCTCAGGAGAAGCAGTGGAAATATGTGACTGGGGAAAGACAGGACTGTTTTTCTGGGTCACAGTCTCACTCAAGGGGCTTAAGTGACTGAGACAGCAGCCTAAATTTGGGAATCATCTCCAAGAGCAAATGTATCTCATGAATCCTCCCTATCACTACTCCTATATTGCCAGTTGCTTTTGCAGGACATTTCAATGTTTTTTCTAAGATGCTGAAATAAAAACAGGAGAGGATTTTTAATCATGTGAATTTGATTAGTGCCAGACAACTGTAGCTTCAGCAGTTTATCTGAAATCTTCCACTGTGCTGTTCTCTTTGTTTTGGTTATATCATTTGCTTCCACTTCAAGAACCTAGAACATCAGACAGCATTGCTGAGCACAGACCAAGAATCAGAAATATATAATACAGATGCTGAAACCAGCACTGGCTTTTTATTAATCTGTTACATTTACCTATCATGTTGGAAATAATAATTTCAAATTACCTGATTTCACAAGCACAGTTGCTGGATCTCTGCTGGTGCAATACTTGAAATATATTTTTGAGAAAGAGATGCAAAGTTTTCTGCTGTGCCAAAGGAAAATTAGAATTGTAATGTTCTAATTACAAAGAACAAAGGAGGAGTTATATATTTTTTGACAAAATAACAATGTTCATGGAAATGAGCAGTTATATAGCCAAGTGAAACTTAATCTCTTTTCATGCTGCTTCTCAAAAAGAAAATATTAACAGCTACTGCACAATCATTCACCCACTCCAACATACTATTAGTTAGACAATATGTGAAAACTGCAAGCTACCTTATTCTACTTCCAAAGTTGTAACGTCATGCTAATCTTAACTTCTAGGAATCTACTTGAACGTAAGAGGAGCTAATACAGAAGGTTTAGAAGGATTTTATCTGGCTGTTACCTTCACAAAACCAACAAAAGTATGTTACATCAGGATATAACAAATTATAATAAATTTGAGGTGATTTACCCTTTGAGGAGGGGTGTACAAATGCAAGGCTCTCTCAGTTCTTCCTAACTTCCTTGGTGATTACAGAGTATTATTTGTATGTGAAGCACTGGCATGGGAGTCCTAGAAAATTAATTTTCACACATTTGGAGAACAGTCATGGCCTGGAAGAATTAAATCTTAGCTTCCTTGCAACTGTCTCAAAGTTTACTGAATTTTACCCGAAATAAGAGAAAAATTATTCCTTCATTTCTTGAAGTCTAGGTTAAGAATGGATAGTTTTAGTTCTGAGCATTTTTGAGATAAAGGTACTTGTGTATTGTTCCACATAGCTCATTAATACTTTTATTTACAGAAATAGTTCTTTTATCTTTTACTGTACACATGTGGGACTTCAGCTAGAAATATTTTTATAGGCAGAGGCCAAAGTTTTTCAGATTGTGTCCACAATTTCTAGACCCAGATATGATCCTATTGGACTTACGCCTTGCCCATGTCATTTGGCTGTCATCTCTATGTACATTGATTTTTCACATTTCCTGAAAAGTTTACAGCATTGTATATTCACAGCTGTCTATATCAAGTATTCTTGCTCTTTCTTGCCCCTGAAATCTGGGAATTCCTACTTTCTTTTCTCTGTCGAGGCATTCCAGGGACTCTATTTTCAAAGGAGGGACACAGGCCCTTTTTAGTACCTCTATTTATGCATTTGAGCATCATTTATATCTTTGAAGCTTCTCTCACCTGCAATACATACAGTGATGAGTAGTGCTGTCATGATTATTGTACCCTGTATACTCAAGAAAAAAATTATCCATTTGCAAGTGTAATTTTGGAATGTCTATAAATGTAACTTAATAGAGAAACAATTCCTACCTCCACTGTCAAGCTTTTGCTGCAGAACTTGGAATCTGCGTAAGGCATAGGTTTACCAACAGCCCTGGGACATAAATCCCAACTCAGGCATATCCCAATCCTTTCCCGAATGCATGGGAGTCCACCATCTCCAGTCTTCATCTTGTTTTTAGGGCAGATCTCTGGGGAATACACAGTTGAAGTGAATTTGCCTCATTTCTGTACTTAGCTAACAAGTCTGTCATGGTTTCAGCCCAACCAGCAGCTCAGCTCCACGCAACCTCACTCTCCTCATGTTGGGATACAGGACAAATTGTAAGAGTAAGAGTAAAAAAAGAGAAAAAAACTCATGGGTTGAGGTAAATACAGTTTAACAGGTAAAGCCAAAGCTGTGCATGCAAGCAAAGCAGACAAGGAATTAATTCATCACTTCCCATGGGGAGGCAGCTTTTCAGCCATGCCCAGGACAGCAGGGCTCCATCACACGCGATGGTGACTTGGAAAAACAAACATCATTGCTCCGAACATCCACCTCTTCCTTCTTCCCCCAGCTTTGTATGTAGAGAATGGCACCCTGTGGAGTCATGGTATCAGCATGTGGAAACGCCTTCAGTCAGCTGGGGTCAGCTTCTTGTGCCACCCCAGCCTCCTCACAAGAAGCAGAAAAGGCCTCAATGCTGTATCAGCACTGCTCAGCAATAGCTGAAACATCTCTGTGTTATCAGCACTGCTCTCAGCACAAGTCTGAGGCACAGCCACGTACCAGTTACTGTGAAGAAAATTAACTCTACCCCAGCCAAAACCACCACAAAGTCAAAGAAAGCAAGATTAAGTCACTCCTACAAAGTAAAAATGCATTTTTTACAAATAACAAATAGAATGCAAACCCTCAGACCCCAGTGGTACAAGACATTATCTGACTGTAGAACAAGTGGATTAAAACACTAAGCCTGAATAAACACAAAACCCACTTCTCTAATGAGGCTTGAAACAGAAATGTTGCACAACTGGGATTCCATTTTTTCAGATTGTATCGCTACACAAGAGCTGAACTAATGCTGTTCTCAGCTCAAGCGTCTGCACAATAAAGCTGTGCTATCTTCACTAACCACCCAACTCAGCAGAGCTCCAATGTGATTTACACAATTTCCTTTGCAAGACTATCATCCCCAAGCACTGGACAGGAAGCTTAGGCAACAGACTGAAGTATCAAGATTTTACTACTGTTGTAGTAGTTAGACCTTCTTACTTATCCTTATTCCTTGTTGGCTATAGTAGAAATAGGAATTAGGTTACAGGTTCAAAGATTTGAGATTCTGAAGTCACGGAAGTAAACATCACAATGAGAGATGCATTATGCCATTAACTAAGCATTACCAAACACACATTTACTCCAGGCTCCAAGCATTTAATGTATGTTGCACAGGGAATTGCATGTGAGATATTCTGTTCTGCTCATTCTCTTATTTTGAAATGCATTTTAATTTCTTAGTCCTGTTCCTTCATCACATATCCACGGGGAGTAAAGGAATTACCATATAGGAGCAGGCACTCTAACCACCTTCTCTTCTTGTGTTACAGGCATCATGGATAAAAGTTAAATGGCATTTGTGGTATCAGAACAGCTTCCAACAAAAGGGTACCCTGCTCACCTCACTTCAAACTTTCCAGAATCCATTTTATGAAAAGCCATAAACAGATGGTATTTTCATCACACCCACTGGTCTTTTCAGATCAGAAGAGACCAGTAGAACATATCTAAGGGATCTTTAATGTTGTTCTAATCCTTCTGGGGTTTCACACTCCTGGGCTGTCAAGAAAGAAGCCTTCACTGATGTTTTATGTTTGATTTGAGTTTAGGGGTTTTTTTTTTACTATAAGAAAAGAGACGAGACATTACTCCAGTGCAAACCAAGTATTTTTAGCCAGCCATAGCAGGAGGCAAGTGTCTTCATCACTAATCAATTTCCTTTATATAATAAAGGGGAAAACACTGCTAAAGAAAGTATTGAGGTACTGATGGGTTGCCAGAAGAGACTAACTCAGTATCTGTGGGATTTTCTGAGAAAGGAATATACATCTCCATCTCTTTTTTGGCAAATAAGGATCTCAGTTTTGCAACTCTTTATGGCACTGTTATTTTCACCATTGATCTGAATATCCTGAAGTCTATAGTTAGTGCACATATGTGTTGGAACCCTATTACATATGCAATTTAACTAAATGGACCAAAAAACCCACACATTTTTAGGGATAACTATTTTAACAGTCCTATTTCAACAAGCTGGTCTGTTGAATTAAAGTTAAAAGCCTTTGCTATCCTACCTCCTAATGCAAATCAATTTACATAAAGAGAATGGTGAGGTGCACAGAAACTGCAAGAGCTTAAGGCAACCACTGGTTTCCAGATGGGATGGAATGGGTCAGGTATAGAGAACTGGAGAAGCAAAATCCATAACAGCTCTGTAAATCAGGATTTTTTGGTGAGGTACTAGTAAGACTGAAAGGCTAAATACAGGACAAAAAATAGGTTTCTGTCAGCACAGAGAACTAATCACACATGTCCTAAAAGCTGTCAGCATCAGTGGCACATGGTACTGCAAATGAAGACAAAAATATCTTCAAACATTTTCAGATATGCACTGATAATTAATTTATGTTGTTCACCTGAATAACATAACTTTTGAAGTTGACATCGGGAACCCACATAAACTAAATAACTATCTAGGTTAGACTAGAAATTTGGGTCAGGGAACTTTATTGCAATACACAATTTGTACAGTATTCAAATTTAAACCTCCCTAACAAAGAAAAAAAAACAAATCTTGTGAAGAATTTTGAATCTGAGACTGATTCACAGGTAACAATGAATTCTCATTTACATAACAATGCTGAAAATTAACTATTGACAAAAATCCAACAAATTTTAACAAAATAGCTCCACAACACTTTATAATATCCTCCTGGGATTGTGTATTTCAGTTCCAAATGAATAGCTGACTCATTACCAAGAGTTGCAGAGGCACACATTAGCTTAAGCCTTTCTTGTAGTCTTATGAAATTGTTCAGCTCTGTAAATATCCATAAAATATTTCTACAATACATTCAAAAGGTTAGGAACTACTCAGAAATAACTTTTTACTTAATGCTAAATAAGTTAAAATATACTACCTGATAAGGAAGAGTAAAGAGAAACAAAATAATCCTTATCTAGTATTTAATGGCCATGGATATCTCTGTACTTCAACTTAATTATATCCAAATTCACCAAAATAGATATATTAAGGAGAACATGATATTTGACTAAGCATACTGCAACAAGGCCAGATTTTGCCAAAGTCAAGGTTTTGCTGTTTAAAATGGGATGTGAATGAACTTGGATATCTCAGTCTTAAGAGCTCCTGATATGGCTACAGTTTTGCTCCTGTTAACAATTTTTTCAGTGCTCACAGAGCTGCTGCTTACACTTAACCTAACCTGAATGCCTAACACAAACGGATACCATCAGGGTTTTCAGTTAGCTTCAAAGCTGCAAAACCTACTTCATACTTTCAGATCAAGCTTGGCATATGAAGCCAAAAAAACTATTACTACCCTTTAAAATTACATAATCCATGCCTGGGATGTGGCATGGATTCATGGCACATCTTCTATGGCACAGAATGAGGATCACTGTCCCAGATGTGTAGGATGCATCCAATTCCTTCTCTGCAAAAGAACTTTCAATCTCACCTGTCCTGGGAAGTCTTCAGCTACCATGCTGGTCAGGGTTTGCTGTCTGTACACCATTATTCTGATAATACCATCTCTCCTTCCTTACCACAGTTGCTTCTCTGAGGACTTTTTCTTCAAGATAAAAGTTAATCTGTCTTGGGAAGGATCACGAATTTGTAACATTGGGCCTGGGTATATCTTGCTTAACTGCAATCAAAAAAAACAGCCCTCTGTTCCTAGCTCCCTTCTGAACTGTTTGTTAGTTTAGTGGAAGGAAAGGGAATTCAGCAAGAGCAAATAACTCCACCCTCAGAGTTATAGACTGCACTACGGAAATGCTGCCTGCCATCCCACTGAAATACAGAACTAGTCCACAGAAAAGTACCTAGAGTTTAGATTACCACTGTTAGGTAAGATAAGTATCACTTCAAGCAATTAAGAGTTAACTTATCCAGGAATCAGGAGAACAGAGATGGACTTTCTATACCTACTTCTATGAACTTCTCCCTTTAACGTAAGCAGTCATGTATTGTGTAGAGAACTTGTACACACTGAGAGATCCAACTACCAGATTTGGGACCAGATATCTAAAGTTTAGACATGCAACAATTTACTGGACCATTCAGTATCAGGTCCTTAACGTAGGGCTGTTTCCCATAGCAGGTTCACAAATGCCATTGCAGTTTTCCTGGGCACCATCAGTGTGGGATGCTCTTCAAGGTTTTCACCCTCTAGCACTTCTGCAGTGATGAGGCACAAGTAAATCTGCAGGCCAAGTTCTGGCTGTGCACCAACTCTGCTCTTCAGGCAGGTCTGCTCCTCTCATCCCTGCATATACTCAGCTTCACAAACATTGAAAGAGAACCAGCTCTAGCACTCCAGACTAATTTTGTACCACTGCTACTGAATACTGAGCTAAGACAGTAGGCACAACTATTTTTTCCAGCCCCCTTGTTGCAGTATATTCCTTAATTTTGCCTGTTTTCTGCTGGATTAGGTTTTTTTTGTTGTTGTTGGTTTAGTTTGGTTTTTTTGTTGCTGTTGTTTGTTTGTTTTTGGTTTTGGGGGGGTTTTTTGGTGGGTTTTTTTTTGTAGCTTATATGCTACAAGATCTAGCTATGTTTTCTGCTACAATTATTGACTGACTTGAGCAAACAAAACCTGCTGATCTGGCCTTAAGTTCATACCCGATGGCGTATCAGCTACACTCCCTGTATTTTTTAATATCTTTCATCCTAATTTATGTTGCTAAAGAATCAAAGCAGATGAATTCATTAGGAATAAAATCTTTAACCACATTTAAATTTATTATTTAGCCACTGTCCTTATGATTCTATTCATTTGACAAGCTTATTTCCTTATCAAGTATGTATTTAAAAACAAAGCTGCTGTCCTGACACCACTTCTCTACATTATTGCAAAGTTAATGTTGTATTTTAATAGGATTATTTTATATCAGGAATTCCATTTAGTGTGTTTCATTTTGCTGGGCATCTGTCCAAGATCCCAGATAACTAATCTCTAAAAAGTGACCTACATACTTAACCATTGTCCCGTTCATAAGTGACACTAATTGACTCATATTTTCTGTTTGATCTATACACCACTTCTCTCATGCAATTGCATAAATCCCTGTACTTTAGTAATTTTTTTTTAATTTATGAAGATGTTCCAAGAGTAATTCAGACAGACAAGACTATCCCATATCCTAACCAAAATTTAAGTTTATGTGGACATTGTTAATCATGCTTTCCTTTGTCCTAAATATAGTCTTTCTGCAGTGCATAATGAAGCCATGAATGCATTAGGTTTATTTACTTACAATTTCAGCAGAGGCAGGCATCAGAATCAGATTTGTTACATAATCTGCTGTAAACTGACTCTTTCACATTCTTTAGACTGGCTGGACAGCTATATTTTGTATTTTCAAAACCTTTACAGGGGACAGAGGAGCATGTGAGGAAATGCTTTGGCCAGATATAAAGTTTGTTATGAAACTTCAGAGTAGAGCTTTGATAATTTTATTATGGGAGCGCCCTCTTCTTGCTTGAAGGAAGCATTTCCTTCCTTCAAGTTTTAGCATATGCCTTTATTTTTCCTTGGTACACTTGAAAAAGCTCTTGGACATTTCTATAGCTGTTCCCTTAGTGTTAAGTGTGCATTAAAAAGAATAACAAGTTCCCTTGCTACAAGTGGAAGCTGACCATCTTGCTAGAGAAAATTTGAAGTTTGTTACCTAGAGGCACCTAGGCTCTGCTAGAAGAGTCATCACTCTGAGAAAAAAAAAAAACAACTTAGACAAACAAACTAAAAGGAGCCAATAAAAAGTGATACTTCCAGAAATACTAATAACTTGAGCAAGTTCTGTCACATGTTTTGGGCAAATGAGCAGTAGAAAGCAGAGGTTCTGTTGTCATTTACAAAGGAGATCTGGTAGAAATGCATCTCTAGAGATGCCTCTTGACCTGAGGCCTGCAGGTATGCATATTTGCACGAGTGCATATTTGCTGCTGAGCATACTTGCATGAGTTGTTTCGGTTCTCCACTCATACCTTCCAAGCTGCACAATGAGACCTCTGCTGTTCATACAAGTGTGCAGCTGGGTTATGAGAGCAAATCCATTTCTGATCCTTAGGGAGCTAATGGCAAGGTGGGAGACCAAACAGAGACCCTAAGGATTTCCAGGGCTAAAATACTTGCTAAAGAAATGCAACATTTATTTATTTAATTCTTAAAAGTGGGGTGGTGTGAGGGTGGAAACTGGAAACAGAAGGACTTTTTGAAACCAACTGATCCACTCAAATAGCATGAGCTAATATTAGATGTTGTTTGAGCATAATGTTTGTCACCTCAGGAATGCTCTGGTCTGGGGAAGACACACACAACCACATCTAACACTAGCCAAAACAACTACACTGAAAATAGCTGGGACCGCAATCAGTTTTATAAGCTTTGCAGTCATATACTACAGTGAAAGTGGCCACTGACCCTCTTCAGACTGTCTCTGCAAAAATTTAACTGTTACCAAGTCAACATTTTGGACTGGGAAAAAAAAAATTGCATGGTATTAGTAACTAATAATTGTATAAATATTTATAAATATGTAAATATTTAAATTTAATCTCTTAATAACAACAGTTCCCAAACCACATATATTTTCATTTTTCATAGAACAGGCCTATAAACTTACCATATGCAAATCCATTTGTTGCTCTAGATCTTGACATCACATCTCATGCATTTAGCTAATTCTCTTGAAAGAGTCAAAAAAAATTCTGTTTAGGTGCTCAGTTCACCCACTTCACAGGTGCTGTGGAAAAACTCATATATGAGCTATCCACATGGTCACTTGCAGACACATCTCTGGGGGACAGAACGCTGTATAGTCATGGCTGTTATAGAGAACTGTTATAGAGAACATGGCTGTTATAGAGAACAATTTATTAGAAAAGTAGAATCTATCCTGAAGAATTATTTTCTTCATGACTTTGTCTTCACCTTTTCCTGTGTTCTACACTCCCCTTTTTTACTTCCCTCTTCCATTTCCAGAATGATATTTCCACATGCCAGGATTAAAACCACATTATTTAATTTTCCCTTCACATCTCAAACGATACTTAAGTTTTTTATTGTATTTCATTTCTGTGATCTAGAACTAATAATTACTGTGCTTCAATAGCAGTATTTGTAATAGCATTTAGATAAATCCTATTATTATTATAAATCAAAATGAAATAATTCCCATTTTGTCTTTCATTAAATGGGACTATTGGTCAGAAAGACTATAAATTGAAAAACTGTAAATATAATTTTTTTCCTTTTTGAAAGGCTATCAAATTCAAAATCACTTATTTCTAAATACATATTAACAAAGGAACAGCAAGAAAAAATGAGTTTCTGTCCTCAACAGCCACAGAACACCCCAGCCCCCAAATCTCCCCCATAGGATACAAGAAATTCCCTATTTTGGAACATCCTTTGGCTGCTTTATCAGTTTGAAAATAAAGTGCAGACATTTACACTCCACAAGGTGTCACTCTAAAACAGCCGGAGAAAAATCGTGTCTTTCTTGCTTTGAACTTTACCCAGAAGGTCAGAAATTACCAGCATTTCAAATTTAAGCCTGAATTATCAGATTCTACTCAGAGCTACTACAATGTAACAGTATAGGCAGTGGGTATTTTTTCTTGCAAATAGCGTATTTCAAAACCAATCTATTTTTAACATATTTGCCGAGCTGAAGTGTGGGAAAAAGAAAAAAAAAAAAAAAAGAAAGTGTGTCAGTAACTGTTTCAATTTGGGGGAGCATCCAGCAAGTATTTTACCAGGATACATTTCATTGTCCTTTATTCAACTACCACTGGCTCGTTGAAGACACAGAAAACAACGTCAGACCTAACAGCTTAGGTCTGCAAGGTATTCAAGCTTTTTAATAAAATACATTTTGTCTATAAACAAGTTGTCCTTTAAAACAAATATATTATAATCTACAGACATTCAAATATCCTCCAAAAAATACAAACAGTTGTCAGCAACAAAAGCTCACTTTCTATGGTTCACGGGCAATCAGTGAATTGAGTCTCTGGAATTTAATAGGAGAGAATTCCCAGAAAGTTTTCTTGAATCTAAAAAAAGTTACATTCCAACTTCTCCTGTACTAAGTCCATGCCTTCATTGCTAACTACCTATTTTCATGAACTTTTGAGAGATCTTTGACACATCTATGAACTTTAATTGCTGTTGACCACCAGGTTCAAAACATACTGGAAGAAATGTGATACAAACATGAGCAACTGTCATTTCACAGGAAACAATATTAGTATTTCAGGAAAATGAAAATCATCAATGAAAAAAAACAAAGAATGTATGGAACAGGTCTGATAGTGGGAGGGAGGGAGCTGTAGGTAAAAATTTACACAAGATACAACAAAAGAAAGTGGAATGGATTTTGAAATGTTGACACTTTTCATCCTGTGCTCAATACTGCAGAGCTTTGATCCCTACATAGACCAATGGGGCTTTTGCACAAAAACCACAGAAATTAAAAAAGAAACAGTCTCACATCCAACTTACCATACCTGCTTGTGTTACACTTTGTAACAGCACTGTTTTCAAACACTTTGTTCAATCTGTCCTAACTTTTCCTGTTTTTCTGTGGCTGTATTTCATTTAGGACCATTTCCAATAGACACACTTCAGAAAAGCTAATTAGATCAGGTCTCAAATGAGAGAAAAAAACAACGTCTGCTTTGAAGATCTCAACAGATTTGGGCCGCTCACTTGTCACGAAAGCTGCAGCTCCAGGCCCATGTCTGGATCTTTGAAGTAACTGACAACTTCACTGGTAAAAATGCAGGGGTGTCAGGGATTTCAGCATTTTTTTTTTTGTTTGTATGCCAACTGACAAACTTCAGAAAGCTTTTAGTTCACACAACCAGGATCTTGGAGAATCTAGTTCTTCAGAATCAACTTCATCAAGCAAAACATCTCAGTATGCATTAAACTTAAAAATGTGTTTGCAGTTCTCTCACTTCTGTAAGAATTAATGGAAGATAGAAATGTGATAAATACTTTCCTTAGGGGGAAAAAAAATCCTTAAGAGAACTATTTTAGAAAAAACAGACCGAACTTGGTCCAGACCAAGCTTGTTAAACAACTCTGCAGCAGCTTTTACCTGGTGTGAGTACAACCCCATTGGGAAGGGGTGGAGGGGAGAATCATGAAAATGAGAGTATTAAGAGCCTCATTCAAGGTTGTTTAGAAATCATATTTTTGAAGCCACAAAACAAAAACAATGACTTGGCTAGATAACCAGATTTCTGAATTGTGACATTTTTATAGCCATAACTCCATTCACAAGATGTATTAATCACACCTGATTTCACTGACAAAGGCTATTAAAAGAGAGGAAAAAGCTCAGCAGTTACCATAACAAAGACACTTCCTTCACTGTTTTTTCCATTCAAGTCACACAGAATACAATGAAGTATTTTTTCCTTAGTCTACATGCAGCACTCAACTCACACACTACTCTCTCTCAGACTTTGTGCATATACACAGCTTTTGCTTCATACTGTATTGAACAAGCCTGTTGTAAGAAGGAAGTTCTAACTCAGAATTAAGAATTAATAGAAACCTGAGAAAGTAGACTAAAAATTCATTAGACACAGAAGAATAAACTAATTGATTTTTGCTACCTCCCCCCCCCCCCATTTCCAGCTGCCATGACAGAATATCAAATATCTAGAATTTACCTAAATTATTTTCCTCAGTTATTAAATCAAGCAAATACTAGAACACTTTTGCTGGAATAATGAGATCACTGTTAGTCTCATCCCTAAGGGCCTCATAGTGCCTTAAACAAATCTCCAAAAAAATAGACGCCCCCCCCCCCCCACCATGACAATATTTTCTACAGAAAGGCTGACAACTAAAAGGCAGTTACTTCTGTCAGCTGCTTAACAGCTCAGCACTCGATACAGTCTTGCCTTGTACACACCCACACACTAAATACCAAGGGAAACAGGAAAAAACTGTGGGCAAAATGAGTCAATCCAAACCAGAAGCTGAGCAGACCCCTTAGTTTTCTTTGAAGTGATATTTAATTCAGAAAAAGATCACACTGAATTTAGCTATTACACTGATGTCTGCAGGGTACCAGTACAGATCAGGAATTATGTGTTACAAGAACAGAAGGAAAACCAAGCAGGAGACAACTTGCACTCCTCAGGACTATATCAGTGCAGCCAAAAAAAAAAAAAAAAAAAATTGCAATTATTCTTGCAAACCGCAAAATCTGTGGGAATAACAATCAAAAAGTCCTGTCAAAGAAACTAAATCCACACCTACTCACACAATATACTTATTTTAATGCCTTTCTTCACTGGCCAAAACAGCTGAGGCTGTTTTAGAGAGTCAAGAGAGATCTATCTGGAGAGTCTATAGAGATTTCTCTTTGCACATCTGCCTAAAGAGGGAAACAGCTATGACTCAAAGCTGTACCTTAAGAGGAAGCTGACTATTACATTCCTCATCACCCACAAGTCTAGGAAGCTGAAGACATTTTACAAGAGACTATTTTACCTGAGCTACATGAAAATCTGTTTTGAAAAAAAAAAATTTAAAATCCACGCAGGCCTGTGTACACACACGTTCTCTCAAAGGCCAATCCTCCAGCTGTCTCTCTTAAAGAAATTTGCAGTCATATGGTTTCAGCAAGAAAGGAGTTTCATATCATAGAAATGCAATTTTCTAACAGGAAGGAAAAAACTACTTTTTTTTTGGCCTTTTTTCCTGATAATGGAAAAGCAAAATTCTTGGCTCTGCCAAGTCAAAGCTTGGGCAGCGCTCAAATTCTCTAGTAATAAACCAACTCAGATTCACTTGATGTTTCTATATAAAGAACACTATTGCATTGAAAAGGCCTTTTTCCTGCACCAACCACATCCATCAGTGCTTCAGTGTGTGCCTGCTGCCCCAAAGGCTGAGCCCATCCTGGGCTGCATCCAAAGCAGGGTGGGCAGCAGGTGAGGGAGAGCATTCTGCCTCTTCACTCTGCTCTGGCAGGACCCCACCTGCAGTGCTGCATCCAGCTCTGGGGGCCCCAGCACAGGAAAGCCATGGAGCTGTTACAGCAGGTTTGGTGGAGCGCCACAAACATCATCACAGGGTAGGAGTGCCTCTCCAATGAAAACTGCCTGAGATGGCTGGGCTATTTCATCCTGGAGAAAAGAAAGATCCAGGGAGACCTCACTGAGTCATTCAGTATTTGCAGGAGGCTTACAGGAAAGAAGGAGAGAACTTTTTACACAGGTAGACAATGACAGGACAAAGGGGCAATGGTTATAAAGAAAAGAGGAGAGATTCACATTAGATATTAGGAATGAATTCTTTGCTCAGAGATTAGCATTCAACAAGTATCTCAGTGAAGATGTGGTTGCCCCACCTCTGGAAGTGTTCAAGGCCACATAGGATGGAGCTCTAAGCAACATGATTTAGTCATGTGTCATCCCTGCCCATGACATGGAGGTTTAGAACTAGATGATCTTTAAGGTTCCTTTCAACCCAAACCATTCTATGACTCTACTAGTAAAGAAATGAGTATAAACTACACATATGTGGAATAGACAACGATTCTTCCTCCCACCGAATTTCTAGTTAGTAGAAATTAGTTAGTACCAGACACTATTGTGAAGATAAAGGGGACTTTTTACTGGAGACATATCTGCCACACACACACACAAGTTTCTCTCTATTTAAGTTTCCAAATCCCTTGTGAGTTAGAAGCAATGCCTACCTGTAACAGAAAACAGACTAATGACAAAGCCACAACAAACAACTTACTTTTTGCACTATAGAGGCTGCAACATGGACCTGCAGATTGCATTCATCCTGTCCAACCTGAACAGAACCTGTGACTTCTGCTGACCTCAGCAGTTCAGATGTATTTTCACAGTGAAGAAGATATTTCAAAGTTTACTTTACTTTTGTTTCAAACCTGCATCAGAGCCTTAGAGGCCAGAGGTATCTTGTTACCTCCTTAAATCAAATGATGTGGCTGCAGGAAGTGAGAGAGAATGCCTCTTCTTACAAATGGTGTCACTTAGGTACCTAGTGGGATTTTCAAAATATTCAAGAAAATTATCCTGTGTATTTCAAGTAATTTAGGAAAGAATAAAAAATCACATACATAAACCAACCCACCCCAACAGGGTCACAGTGAAGAGGGTTAAATGCAAATTGAGTTTAAATTAAATTAGGAAGTCTCAATGACTTCAGTATGATTCCATCCCTCCTCCTCTTGCATACACTCACACTCTCTCTCACACACACACACACCCTCAGTAAAGCCAATTAAGTAGGAAACAGGCCTCTCTTCCTACCACATCAGTAAGGCCATTAGCTCCAGCAAAGCTCCCAAATACTCTACCCATAGACTGTACTGGCCAAACAATTAGATCACTCCTGAATTTAAAAAGTACCCAGAAGCAACTTTGCATATACACTAGTTTTTTCAAAGCACAACGGAAAGTTGGCACATACTGCATTTACGAGAGCTGTAGTCTGGTTTAAACACGGGTTTATTTTAAAAATCTTCAGCTCTCATCTGTAGGCTACTGCAGAACTCAGCAAATCAGCAAAGAGTTACTTATTGGAAAGCTTCCTTCCTTAGGACACCTTGACCACCATTCAGTAGTTTGCTGAAATTGTGAAAAGAACTGCACCATCAATCTTCACTACAGGCAACTGTCTACAGGTGTACAGGATCTAGAATGTAAAGTATTCAGGATGAACATTTAAATTTTGATATATAGACCTCCAGTGAATCAAATATTCTGCAGATTACAGAAAATTTAAGTAAACAGCAGCCATATAACAGAGAGCTTCTTACAAGTACTTACAGTATATTTAGCATCATGTCATAAGCTTAGGTGTGCTTTTTTCCCTTTGTCTTCTTTCAGATACTCATGGATTTTTAAAGCATCTCAACCAGGTTTTTAAAGGAAATCAGACACTACACAGGTTAAACAACATGGTTCTATTAAAAACTATCTTTAACCATGGCACTCAGTGACAGCAATACAATACTTTTTTCCACAAAGCAACTAATATAAAAATATGCCATAAAATCATCTGTAGACTAGTATGCTAGTACATACATATAATCATAACATTCTTTTATAAACTCTTTCCTGAGATACCTTGGGTTGTTTGATTTTCTGGTATTACTGGATGCATTATCTTTATAACTAATCTAAAACAATTGCAAAATATTTTGAATGTGCAGGACACTCAGTAACATGTAAAAAGTAATTTGTAAATATATGGCAAAAAACAGCTCTTAGAAATTATGCACTTTTTTACTTTGTTATATATTTTAACATTTGGCTCCTTGGGAGACAGAAGGATGGTGCATGAAAAACCTAAAATTTAGAGCTATGAATTGACAAAAAGCAGGAAAGCATTCAGGAATGTTAGGAGTTGGAATATATTATAAATGACACAAAGAGAAAGCCGTAAGTCATGTTGGCTATGTATTGTCTTACAAAGCAACTGGACATATCTTAGTTCACAGTATAATAAATATTTTTACTAATCTGTTTTGGAAGAGCAAATGTCTTTTAGGGTTTCAAGCTCCTGTATAAGTTTCTTGTTCTGAACTTCTAGCACTGCAACACGACTCTCCAGACATTTTATGTATTCTTTCTTCCGACGTCGACATTCTTTAGCAGCTTCCCTGCAAAAAGCAGAAGTAAAAAGTGCAAACAAAAAAGCCATTTGCATGCCATTAGAAAGCTCAGCAGAGTATGGAGACTATGACAGAATTCCAAATTTTGGAATATCTCCCAAATCAGTCTGAAAACACTAAGCAAAACTGGGTTCCACAAGGGCCTCAAGTGTCTCTTTCTCAAGTTCATATGGCAATCTGTAGAATTGCTTCCTCTCATGCCTTGATTAAAGTTCATAATAAAGGAGGTCCAAATGAAAGACAGTTATTCTGCTTTATGACAATAAAGATCTTTGAGGGCCTTGAGTTCCTCAATGAGAGTCTTGTTTTGGTTTTCAAGCACAGCCACACGATTTTCAAGACATTTGACATATTCTTTCTTCTTTCTGCGACATTCTCTGGCAGCTTCCCTGGAACCAATACAAGGCAAATGACTACAGGAACAGCCACAATATGGCAAAGACTGGATAAATGCAATTACCTGCAATCCCTGTGGTTCCACAATAACAATACCATCACCAACAACTGCTGGATTGCACAAACAGAACATCGGATAACAGCCAAAAGCAGCAACATAGTTAAAATATAATCCAAAACATCTAGAACTTGAAACGCATCCAGCATCACCAAATACAAAGATGGAACCAATACACAGAAGAATTGAGAAAAACAGGGAGTAAATGATGATGTATTGACTTGAGTTGTACTAAACATTAGGATGGAAAGCAGCATTTCTTCTTCCAGTCACATTCTACTTTGTGTGTTTATCGGGAGCATTGTCTTCTGCCATCAAAATCTTAAAACCAAACCCAGAGAATATACTTTCAGAAAAACACAAACATAACACTACTCTCTTCAGATAAAAAACTAGATGCCAAGCTTATATGAAGATAAAAACTTACACAATGTTGTAACCATTACAGTACAATTTAAGTCCAAACAAATACAATTTATTAGCATTTCAGAACTGGCTAATTTCAGCACATTTCAGCCACATGAGTCTGTGGTTTTTGTTGCTGGCAAATGATAGCCTGAAGCCTTTTTTGTAGTTCTGCTCAAAAGTCTCTAGTATTTGAGCTAAATGCTTTGGCTAGTGTGTTCAGAAGCATGTGACTAAACAAGCATTCAATTCCAGAAGAAATATTAGACGTACTGGGAGTCCTCCTTTACCATCTTGGAACACGATAAACTATCAAATTGTGAGAGGCTAACATTCCAGCAAGTTATGAGCTATAGCATAGGCACTAGTTTTAAAACCCAAGAGAGAAGAAACAAAAAGGAGGCACAACAATGCAGTGATCCTCATAAGTAATTTAAAGGACAGGCATGAGAGCAAAGCAATACCATTAATTCAATTATAAGACAAGTGGCTAAGCAGTGTATTAGAGATCTGCAGAGCAGACTATTTCTACTATTAATCTGTCAGTGACAGAGGTGGCTACACATTTTAAAAAGACAGACTCCCCTAGGAATAGCAAGAAGAATGCACAGAGAAAGACTGACATGTACAACATTCAGTCAAGTCCATAAAAACTAATTTAAAAATATACAGCAACTTCACACAATATGCCTCACAAAATGACAGGGGCAAAGTATCTCATCCCAGCAGCCAAGTATTTAGCAAAGTCTATAATTATCATTCCATCTTTGAATAAGTCCTCTTCAAAGCATCATTAATGGACAGCTGCTAATGAGATCCTCAGCTATTTTCCTAAACAATTCTTTGCTGGGATGCTTAAAATGAAAAAGGCCCTATTGGTCATTTTACTGTCAGTAGTGGGAGAGGACAGGAAGTAAAATTCAACACAAAGTGTAACTCTGGATTATCACAAAAATTATCTGATACTGATTTCTGAATCACCTAATATTTTCAAACTAAAAATCCATGGTTATAAGGTCAACTCTAATCTGCCAGAGTTAACAACCAACACTTTATGCTAGAAGGACAGGGGATGACTGACAAAGAATTTCCTGCCTTCCCTTCATCAATTACAGGCAGTGCTCATGACCTTAAGAAGAAAACTTTGTTATAATGTTTGTGGGGGAGGGGAAGTGGTTTGCAACACTGACTATGAATTATTATATAGTCTTACCTATTTTTCAAAAGTCTCAGCTCTCTCTTGCGTGTTGCCTCTTCTGCCATTTGCTGAGGGCTGTGCAAAGTCCCTGGCGAGGCTGCCATAACCACTCCCTGAGGTAAGGTAGTAGTGGGAGTTCGAATCTGGTAAGCTGGCATGTCTCCAGTGGCAGCTGTACAAAATAAACATATTTTAAAATGTATGGCAAAAAAAGAGGTATATCTGAAAAGAACAGATTTCTTACAATGATTTATCCAGGATCCCACATAAATTATTTCACAGGTCTGTAATGACACAACTATATTTTTTATCTTAATAGTGTTTCTTTCCACACTGTCAAGTGTCTGAATTGCTCTAGCATGTGGCCCCAGTAGCCAGCCGGACTGAAAGCTTCCACATGGCTCTCTTCAGACAACATGGGGAAAGCAGTCTGAGAAAAAGCTCAAGCAGTGACACTTACTTCCTGTTTGCACAATCCCACAAAAAGAAGGTCCTGCTGTTGCAGCCACTGAGGTTTATATGCTACCCTGTTCTCCCTGTACAGAACTCAATTTGCTTCAGAAGACAACTTTCTCCTCCTTCCTTGTGATAGCAACACTACCAGCTGTACAGCTTGGCAGCCCTTGGACAACAAGTGAGAGCTGCTGTTGCTACAATGAAAAGGAACAGACAAGTGCTCAGGACATACAGGCATTTGTTCCCTGGGCAAGAGGACCACACATGTGCCGCAGCATTAGCAAGCAACAGGAGGCAGGGGCAGTTGCACAGAAAGGAGTGTAGCTGCACAGTAAATCAGAGTGCAAAAGTTCAGATTCAGCTCCCAAGCTTAGCAGTTTTGTGCTCTCCCCAAGCCAAATGCTGATCTGACGTGACTTGAAACCAACACCTTTCTTACAGTCTCATGTAATTTCTTTGTTTCAGATGTACTTGTCCCTACATGATGTACCTCAACTTAAAAACACTGGGGAAGTCCTAAGTACCTGTGCCTGTCCAACAGAAAACAAAACCAAACAAAAAATATATTCCTCTTTACATTCTAAGCAAGTATTTACCTATTTCTTTCCATACATATTTTATATTACGATAGAACAAAAAATCAAATTTTGTCATAAAAGCAACTTTATATAGCTGATGTTTCAGAGGCTATTGTTACACTTAGTTTATACTTTAATTCTTTAAAGCATTATTCAAATAATGGAAAAACATGTCTCACAGCTTAACCCCAGCCTGCAACTAAGCACCACACAGTCACTTGTCCACTCCATCCACACAGCTCTCCAGCTGCATGAGGTAGAGAAAACCCATAGGTTGAGATGGGAACAATTTGATGGAAATAAAAGAAAACAAGAAATGTAATGAAAAGGAAAATAACAAAAAGAGAGAGAAATAAACCCAAGAAAAATAATTAGTGCAAACTAAAAGCAATTGTTTACCACCCACCAACTGATGCCCAGCCTGATGCTGAGCAGCAGGCCCCAGGCCAGCTTTCCCTACAGATTACAAGCTGAGCATGATGCCTTACAGTATGGAATATCCCTTTGGCTATCTGGGCTCAGCTGCTCTGGCTGTGATCCCTCACAGCTTTGAGTGCACCCCCATCCTACTCACTGGCAGAGTATGAGAAGCTGGGAAGTCCTTGACTTAGGGCAACTACTGCTGAGCAACAACCAAACCATGAGTGAGCTATCAACATCTCTCTCATCCTAAAACCAAAAAACAGCACTGTACCAGCTAATAGGAAGAAAATTAACTCCATCCCAGCTGACACTAGGTCAACTTGGAAAAATAAAAGGTAGACAAAAACATCTTGGGGAGGCTGATAGGTTGAGCAGTTAAGAAACATCAGTGAACTATACGGGGGAAAAATTAAGCCTATTAAAAATATACTATTATTCTTACTATTTTAATGCAAGTGCTTCACTGGTTCAAAACAAAAACAAAAAAAAAAAATAGAATCAAGTTGTGTTTAGACTACAATTCCACAGCCATGTCCTGAAATCATTATCAGCTTAAACCCCGTGCACCTCCCCCTCTCCTCAGTCTTGCGGGTAAAAGTGTTTGTGGAATTACAAGATGAACTGGACCAGTGAACTGACCTGGATAATCCCCCGGGGATGTGGGAGGGAGGGAGAAATCAGCCCAGAACAGCCCTGTGAGCAATGACAAGCAGCTGCCACGAGCACAGGGCTTGGTCATCTTGTACATCTGCAGGGGAATTGCTTAACCCTTTAAGTCCTTCACATTTCTTAGCAGTCCCAGTCACGTCAACAGAATGGTACCTCAGCTCACTAACTATAAAAATGGAATTTTAGCAACTCTTCAGGCTCACCTTTATGCTGGCAACATTACATATATCTTACAGACCTTATGGTAAGAAGTACCTTTTTCTATCTCATCACTAGGTATTAAAGAGATGTTACCTTAATTTGCCTTAGCTACAATGAATTAGAAATCCAAGCAAACCATTTTGCAGATGAAGTCATGGGGGAAAGCTCCACAACCCAGACCACCTCAGCCTGGCAAGACCAACTAATTTGTTGTCTGTGTCTGACTTAAGCTCAGATGGCAGCAAACAGGACTTACTGCAGCTTTTGTGCAGAGGACTCAGTGTGATCATGTACCTCCAGCAAGACTTAACAAAAGCAAGTCCCTATCTCAGCTAGGATCAGCAAACACCACTGGTAAGGCTTCTAGTCTGAGCAGGTCCCAGCAGTGGCAGTCTCTGCCTGACAGTTGTCTCACTTATAAACCTGTCAGCACAGGAACACAGATAAATAACTATTCTGGTGGTAACGGCCTTGCCAATCCAGACACCACTGTTTAGAAACAAGAAAAAAGCATAGCATGGCATTGACAAAGTGTCTTTTAGCTGTGCAGTAATATATGTTTTACGACGTATCATTGCAAAAATATATTTTGAAGATTGAAAAATGTTTTGATATTAGCTCAAGAAACTAGAGTGTAACTGACTTCCCCAGAAAAAGACCTTTGGAAAGATGAAACAGGCTCTAAACACAGTGGGATAAACTTATTTTTTTTCAAAGTTATTTTAAGGCTAGTTATGTATCTATATTACAGTGAAGAATACCTTCCATTTCTGCATCTGAGATAAATGTCCCACACACTTCATCCAGACTGCCAAACTTCTGTGGCTGTTTCTAATGACACTTCATCAAGGTTTAATGTAATTCCTAAGGTACCAGAAACAGAACTGAGAGTGTTAACAAAGCAGCAAACCTGGAGTTGGTGCATTTCCCTAACACATTGCCACTGGTAATTTTTATTTTTTTTTACCCCTTAAAATGCAAGGGAGTAAAAAGTCACTGAAAACCTGAAGCTTTTAGCTGAGACTTACAAAAAGAAAATTAAGAAAGCCACAAGACAACTAGTAAAAAAACCCCAAACATGCATTAAAAAAAATAAATAAGAAAGCAACCACCTCTTGGAAAAAGTAACTTGCTGAACACTAGAGAGCATCCCTGCACTCAGTTCTTTCAGTGACTATCCAGGAGAAAAAATGCCCAATGTATTTGGATGCCTATTCTCCCTCTCTGTGAGTCATAATGGTGGGACTTGATTATCAAGGGGTTTTTAACTTCACCACTAAACTGGCTACACAAGGCATGAATCATTATCCCTTTGAGCATTAAATACATCGACCTGGAGAAGATATTTATCTTTGGATTAATGAAACAACGTGCACCAGCACTGAGTAGCAGCACGTAGGAGCCGGCAGGGAAGTAGTTAATGTTACCGAGCTGCCGGAGGCAATTGACGAGGCAGAAAGGAACTGACTAAATCGCAGCATGACTTGGAGCTGACGTCAATGTGTATCTTGTTTGGAGTTTAACTTTTCCAGTTCCCTACTGCAACACGATTCCAGGAAATCTAATGACGTCAGCCTTTTGAACTCAATTAGCTGAGGAACAGACCATTTTAACAGCGGAGGACAAAACAAGCAGGCGTAACAATACTTCAATTATTGCCCTCAAGTTTGTTTCCATTCAGTGTTTTTTTAATACTGGAAGCATAGGATTGATTTACACTGCCGAAACAATTTCTATAAAGCTAGATTGAAGCCCACGGCTATCAAATTTGTAGCATCTATTGCTCAATAAAAAAGGCAGTTGTCATTTTTACAAAACAAAAAGCAATTATAAACACAGCAACATATATATAACTGTCACCACAATAAAGAAAAATGCAAAAGTAGAGTGGTGGATTGTTTTCAGCAAAATCCTGCATCGAATACTAAAGAACAGTTACTGAATCAATCTGTGAGTTTGATTCATGCACTAACAGTGATTTTTAGTTTTTTCCCCCAAACAAAACTGTTAAAATTGCCCTGGAATCCTACACTAAGTTGACAGAATTAGAAGCTATTTGTATGACTTTAGAGAGATGAAAAGAATTACAGCAACAGGTTCAAAAGAAAATGCCACAAATAGTAACTAAACACTGCACAGACATACAAAAATACCATGTCAAAGGCTAACAAAAATTTTTACCTGTTTCATCTCCTGTTACAGCCATGATCAACTTCTGCACACACGATTCTGCTGCTCCTCTACCAGAGCTCAGCATGAACTGTTCCAAACTACCAAGCATGTGCAGGATTACAAGCAAGAGCACTGACATCACAATGACCTCACTTGCTTACTGCTGTCATTAACATGCTCCATCACTGGAACAGCTCACTAAAACTGCAGCCCAAAGAATTCCTTTTCCAGTAAACCTGTCTTTTTTTTCCCCCTCTTCCATATTGCTATAATCCTAGCTTTGTTCTTTTCTCCTGAATTATTCATAAAGCTACAGAAAGCACTCACCACAAAGCAGGCTGTTAAGAAAGACCTGAAAATTCACAGCACTGACTGACAGAAATGAAAACATGGCTCGAGCATTCATGAATGAATCCAAACGATAAAGTCATGATTGGATAGAAAATAAGGAAATTTAAAACAGACATGCAGTTGTTTTCATTGGAACAGTTCCACTAAAAGGCAGAGAACTCTGTTGGACAGACATGCAAGACAGGAAAGCTTAATAAGCTGTAACAAATAGGTAAATGAAAGGCTAGAGCTCCTCGCTTTGCAGGAAAACTCACAACCCACTCATTTAATTTCAGTTAAAAGCTTCAGAAATTATTAAGGAACACTCCAACAAAGTAAGTCAACCTAAAGTCAGTGGTTTCAGATGCTGTAACAAGCAGAACAGTAATTCTGTGTAAAGGCTACCTCTTCCCCCTTCCCTCCTTTTTCAAAATATGTCCAAGAGATCTGTTTGACTCTGTTTTAAAATATAAATTAAAAAACAATTCAGCTCTAAGAGAGTTAGTCCTTATTTACATCAATGCAAATTAAATTAATTTCAGACCAGGAGTCCAAATACTGGTTTGTATGTAGGGCACAGCAAACTTTTAAGGTCTTTGTACTAAACAAATTCAGACTGGTAATTTATCAGCGGTGAAACTGTACTGGATGGCAGCAGTGGAAGCATCAATGTTTGCATTGATGTTCTGTGTTTTACATCCTGTGTTTACAGAACCACTTCAGGATCATATGTACAGAAGATCATAACTAAAGCACATGAAGTTTAAGCCACAGATTTCAAATATCACTAACAATGTAACGAAAATACACAAAAATCCCAACAGAATGATTTTAATATAACTTTTCTACACTCATTTTCACTAATAATCAAAACACTTCTTCAGCTAGCAAAAAAATCCTTAACACTTAATGAGTTAGAAAACTGCCCAGACACTAGAACTGCCTTTTACTTTGCCTACAAATGTAAACTTGCAGTAAATACAATGTCACTCAATTGGATCAATATATTTGGCACTTTTATTCTAGTATTTTTCCACACCACAGGTTATCAGAAAATACCAAACACGGGGTTTATGTGATCTTATCCATTATTACATGAGTTTCCTTAAGAAATACTTAGAAAAAAAAATCAATACATATGCCACCTGAAAGATTCTGAAACAGAATCTGAAACAGATCTTTTCTGTCTCCAGGTATTTGTTATATTATTTTCTTCTTCTGTGACAAAGAAAATACATTATATGCTGCCTACCCAAAATCATTATAAAAATACATATGTAAGTGGTAAGATTACTAAGCAGACCAGTTTTTCTATTATAATCTATGCACTCACAATATTAGGTGATCAGTCAACTACAAAGTGTACATAAATGACAAATGTCCATAACCTGTATTCCAACAGACTTTCTAGCATAGGCAAGATGACCTGTAATAAGGACATTTCAGACACTTGTATATTCAACTTATTCCATAGTCTCACTCCATCGTAATTAACTCAGGTTTGCTGCCTTCATACAATTATATTACTATAACCATTTTCAAGCACTTTCACTATTTTTGTACATCTCTTTTTTTACTATAGATGTTTTATTTTTTCTAAAGATTTTCTAACATCATTAGTATGTAGAATAATTGAAGCCTTTTATCTTATCATCATCTCCAAGCTCATGTTCATTTACTGTTTGCTTTGTACTTTTCCCTGTATGTTATGTCACATTTTTTGTCTGTGTTAACAGCTATGAGACTCAATAAAGCCCTGGACTTTGAACCAAAGGAATAGAGAATTCCAGGAAATAAACTTCTCTGAGCATGGACAGAGAACAAATCAATTTAGTTAGAAATATCTAGATGCTTCCAGAAACATGATGTAGAAGGTATTCAGTTACTGTCTCTGAATCCATTTTGAAAGTTTCCATCACAGGCAAAACTTAAAGGGCAATTCTGTCTCGTGGAGCCCATTGCTGAGACTGAGTAGCCCTGTCAGAGAACAGCTCTGTAATGGAGAGTATGAAAAGGAAAATCAGTCAAATGGAATTCCCAAGGACTGAAATGCTGCCAGATAAAATCCTCAAATGCTGTGCTTCTTCACAGACTTGGGAAGTTTTAGGAAGAAGCTGAGGAGTTATTCTTTCTGCCTCTGATGCCAAAGCTCTGAAGAATCAAAGCAGTACCTATAAAATACTACAATCAACCTGGAGAGATGGAAGCAGCCTCTGATTTAAGGGATGTGTAGGCACACACACAGAAAACATATTAGACTCATACTCAGAAAAACATGCAGTACTAGAGTGGGAAATTGGTTTGGGAGACAGCCAAATTTGGGTGTTAAGGCTTTGTTGAGAATGTATTCATAATAACATTTAGGAAAGTTGTAACAATACTCTCTGAACAATAAAAACTTAACATTTGGCTAAGGTGTTTTCATCTTATAGTCTTAAAGCACTTGAAATGCTTCTGGAAAAGTCTTGGGACAACAATGTATTTCAGCATTCATTTGATGACCCTCATCCACTCCATGCATACATATCTAAATCCTTCCTAGCTCTTCTCATGGTTTATTTCAGATAGCTGTTTTGGCTTAAGAAAGTATTCATACAGCCCTCCCTCCCTACTTCTCTCTGTCAATAATTTTTTTTCTTTTTAAGTCTGTATATCCTCCATAGCAATTAATTTCTCCATAGAGAAATCTATCTCCTATTTTCAAAAGTTTTCATCACATCATGTGTGTACTTTACAGGACCTTCAAAGTGTTCCTCTGTGAGCAAACTAGCTTCAGTAAAGGATCTGCTTTCTAGTAACTGCAAGAGCCATAAGCTGAAAGGAAATCCTGCTCTAAACATATCCCAAAATGTTCAGAATTAACATTAACTGCTGAAAAACACAAATTAGTTTCATATATTAAATGATGTGCACCTTCAGCATCTCACTTCAGTCTCTAAGAGTACCTTTATTCCAACGAAACATGTCTCAAAATCTAGACAAGACAATCCAAAGCAGATAGTGATGTTATATTGCTATTTCATTCTTTTTAACCAAACATAGTAACCTGCCTTACTAAGCAGAGAACCTGAATCCCTTCCTAAGGCTCTTTCATCTTGCTATGAGTATTTTCCTTAATAGTGCAAGAATGTCAACACAAAATAAGAAACCTTTTAAGAAAAAATGTTTCATATGAAAAAATGAAAACTGAGTAGAATATTAAAATATACCTTGAACAACAACTTGGCTTCCAGGAACAAAAAACTGCTGCGTGCCATCAGATGACTGTGCTGCATATTGCACAATGGTAGCGCCTGGCTGAGGAGCTCCCGAATTTGTCACAGTCTGAATTGTACCACCTTGAGATATGGTAACTAAACAGAAAAAAAAAAGAAAGACATAACACATGCTAAAAAACATGAAATAAACATTGTCTTACAGGACTCCTGGTCCTCCCCTTGCTTAAGGATCAATTGTATGATAAAACTTAAGTATTAATATTGATTTCCACAAATAGAAAGTCTCTTGTGTAGTATATGCCATACATATAACAGATAAAAAGTGGTGTTCAACACATTTCATCTCTATGTTTCCAGAAACATTATCTCTATTAAAGTAGTTTAAATATGGGGGAGAAAATAGTAGCCCTAGCCATATAAAAGCAATGTTTTATATTATAACATAGAAGTTATTTTTTTAAAAATTCTTAAAAAAAGCTTATTCTTAAAAAAAGTTTATTGACTCTCAGAAAACAAAAACCAGGACACCAAGACAAAGGAAGAGAAAGATGCCTAACACTAACAATCCTTTCCTTAGCGTAAGAAAAAGTTTAGCACAACATTTAATCAGGTTGTACACAGGTGTATGGAGCCCAATACTCATGTAAAAAGAGAAACAGAACAAGGTGGGGTTCTTCCCTCAATGTAATAGCAATATGAAAAAAACAAATATACTTTCTCCATTAATAAAACTCATTCTGCTTTCTTGCCATAATCAAGTATTTATAAAAATGCAATTCCCTAGAGGCATCATTAACTGTATATTCCTTTTGAAATTAGCATTGCCTTTGTTAAACACAGAAATATGATTGAATCATAGAATGGCTTGAGCTGGAAAGGACCTTCAAGATCATCTAGCTCTAACTCCCCTGCCACGGGCAGAGGAATCTTCCACTACATCAGGTTGCTCAGAGCTTCCCCATCCAACCTGGCCTTTACTGCTTCCTGGAATGGGACATCCACCACTTCTCTGGGCCATTTGTTCCAGTGCCTTGCCACCGTCAAAGTGAAGATTTCATTCTAATGTCTAAACTAAGTCTATCCTCTCTGTTTAAAGCCATTGCCCCTCATCCTATCACTACACTCCCTGATACAGAGTCCCTCCTTACCTTTTCTGTAGGCCCCTTTCAAGTACTGGAAGGCTACTGCAATGTCTCCCTAGAGCCTTATTTTCTCCAGGCTAATCAACCCCAAACCTGTCAACCTGTCTTTATAGGGAAGGCCTCCAGCCCCTGACAATCTCCATGGCCCTCCTCTGTTCTGCTCAAGCAACTCCATGTCTGTCTCGTGCTGGAAACTCAGAGCTGGATGCAGCACTCCAGGTGGGCTCTCACCAGAGCAGAGGGGCAGAATTGCATCCCTCAGTCTGCTGCCCACGCTGCTTTGGATGCAGCTAAGATCTGGTTGGCTTTCTAGGCTGCAAACACACAGTGCCAGCTCACAGTCAGTGTTTCAGCTACCAGCACATCCAGGTCCACTCAATCCACTCACTGCCCAGCCTGTATCCACATTTAGGATTGCCACAACCCATACACAGATGCTGTGTATTGATGATTGACATTGGCCTTATCATGAAGTTTGCACGGGTCCACCTCTCAATTCTGCAACAGTCCATTTGGATGGGATCCCTTCCCTCTACTGAGCTTTGGGTATCAACTGCATCATTTAGCTGGTGTCACCTGCAAACTTTCTGAAGGTGCATTCAACCACACCTTCCACATCTCCAGCCAAATATACTAAATAATACTGGTCCCAGATCTCTGAAGGACACCACTCATCACTGGCCACCACCTGAAAATCAAGCTATTGACTGGAGCTCTTTGAGCCAATTCCTTATCTACCAAGTGATTCACCAGCCAAATCCACATCTCCTATGTTAATTAAAACAATCCTGAAACTTTCAGCAGAGAACCCAACACCCAAGGAGTAAAAAAAATCCTTTCTCCCCCAAAAGACATTTAAACTATGTCATAAAAGTCAGACATAAAAAAAGATTGAGCCTTGCCAACTCCTCTGAATTCATTGTCAGATTACAGTATTTGATGTCATTCTTGAAGGTTCAGATCTGCTTATCTCAATACAGGACTTGTTAGATACCTATGTGAATTTTAGAGATTGCTGATTTCAAATGTTCTGTTTTGGCAACAGTAGGTTATCTCAAAAGTTCAACTTCAGATATAAACATTTGAAAGAGACTGAGATTGCCAAATCCCAACACTTGAATTAGCTTCTTTTGGGGAAAACATGGAATTCCTCCCATTATGAATTAAGAGCCTTATCTGCTATACTGAAACAGGGTTCAGCATGGACCTCCAGTCCTGCCCTTGGAATGAGGAGTATGTAACACAGGAATTAGTTGGGCGCTGCACACAGGCTCCCTAAGGCATTGAGGAGAAGAGGAAGAGTGTGGCAGGGCACAGAGTACAAGATGCTTCAGTCTGGCCTCCAAAGCAGAAAGAGTCCCATTTTAAGGCAAGACAAAACAGAGAGAAGCAACAAAAGTAAAGCATTGTATCCTCTACTCTTCACAAAGTCCAGGACAAGAGCAACAAGATTTGTCAACTCTACCTCCCAGACAAGTTAAAAAGAGCCAAATTCTGCCTCTCAGGGTTAGCACCTGTAATAGCATATCTACACTATCACAGAACCCTACCACATAAAACCCAGTCAGTTTGGCTTCCTAAGCAGTAAAACATCAGCACAGATTGATACAAAGCTCTTGGCTCCACAGTGAACCTGGGTAAACAATTATGTCACAGCTGTCCAGCAATTATTCATTCAGATCCCAATCCAGTACTTTATAAACAAAAGTGAATTAACTCCAGTAACTGCCTCCTTTACAGGACTGATTCCTGCCATATTCCCAGAACAACACACTGCCCAGCCCCCCATTCACTGTCCTGATCTCAACCACTGCACACACTTTGTTGTGCTGGAGCTCTACTGAAAACTGAGCTTTCATGATGAGTACAGGACTTTCCTGGACAGTTCCTGTAGCTGAATGTCATGCAGGTGGATAGATGCAACTGGCATCTTCTCTTCCACCTAAGAGTGAGGACAGTACTAATACCACTCTCTGAGTATGATCATCAGCTCTAATCCAGAAAAAAAAAAAAAAACCAGGTCTTTTTCCCTTCCAAAACTGGAAACTAAACTAAAGTTAGTCTTTCCCAAAAGATTTCTTAATTCTCCAATTCTTAAAAGTCTGTTCTAAGACAGCAAGTAACCCAAACAGATAGCTAAAGATTTAATAATTTTCACTCCCCCTGCATTTTTTCATGCAGACCATCATGATATGCACAAGGAGGCAGGGGGATGGGGAGACTGATTCACACACTCCAACTGAACGAATAACTCTCGCACATTAGACCACTACCACAGGTGAGGAAGTAACTTTTTTCAGTATTAAATAACCAACATGACAGGACTACAGCCAACAGAGTAGGTATGTAGTCAGATGAGAACACAAGGCTCCTACACAAGACAGCACCCTGTGCAAAACTACCCCTTTGCCTGGCAGAAAGATCACACATATGTTGATGGAGGTAGCTGGCAAAGACTACATTTTATCTGGTCACGTCCGTCTGTCTGCTTCCATAAGCCAAAGACAAGAAGCTCCAAGGAAAAAGGTATTGGGAAACCATGGCAACATACCTTTTTGCCTGGTGAAAATTAAGTAGAGAACAGCCATCAATGCTACTAATAGACAAAAATACATTTGTTTTCCACAAAAATTCACTTATCAAGTTCTTCCAAAAAGAGTCATCCCAGACATCCAGACATAAACACACAGTCAAAATTACCTTTTCAACTAAATTGCCCTTCCTTTGCAAGAACAGGGAGAGCAGTAGAGAAGAAAAGGAACCAGCGAATGTAATAACACCTCTTTTAAACCAGAGCACAGTGCAGATGGCCACAGTGACACCACAAGGCCAGCTCTTCATTGCCAAGGACACTGCACAAGCTTAATGCATAAACCACTGGGTGCCTGCACACCAGAACCTGTGCAGCCCACGCTGGCCAGGGACAGAGGAGTCCTCAGGCACAGGAATGACAGGCAGAAGCACAGAGCTGCTGACAGGAGGCGTAAAGATGAAGGAGGTGCATGGAGTGACCCTCTGCATTATATCCAGTCTAAAATCAACACTGGATTTGTTACATTCCCACCCAGCATTCCTGGTTTTAGCTAACAGCAGTTCCTGAGGATTACAGGCAACCAACAGGATGGCTCAGAAATGCTTCAGATCCGTGCTTCATATATGTAAAGACTAGGGGTCAACAGTCAAGCTCTCTTCAGTAAGTTCCAAGTTAAGACCCCCTTTACTACTAAGGAAATGACCATCCTTGCTACGACCTGGCCTACCCAGAATTAAAATACACAGACTTTACTGAGGCAAAAGGTATTTTAACTTACAAAAGTGAACTTAAAAAAAAATCTAATTAATGAACTCATAAATTCAGCAAGAAAAACTATTTTCAAAAAGAAAAAGCTCTCAAAACAAAGTTTTTGAGCCGAAACCAAGAGAGTGCATGAAGGCTGACATTGCATTTTGAAGCAATGCCTCATTATTATGAGAACCTTAATTATACAGCACAGTTTTTATGCTACAACTATAACTTACTCAAAGAAAAAGCAGCAAAGAACAGAAATGTCCCAAGCTTGGCTTATAGCCAAGTTTAAATTAAGACACATGAGATTTAATTAAATTTTTGTGTATTCTGTTCTCACATTGTCAGTGATGCTCTCTGTTGCTTAATTTTCAGAAGTAAATGTCTGATTGAACAAGAAACCAAAACCTTTGAATTTTGTTATTCACTTTAACACTATTGTTTATAGGTGTGTTCAAATGAAAACATTCCCCTAAGAATCACCTCCTACAAGACACTATGGTCAAAGTACAACTTTGACTTCCCAGAGAAAGCCACAATTAAACCTAAGCTCTAAAATTTCTTAGAAATCCTATAGGTTTACAGGCTCACTAGGTAATACACAGACATTATAACACCTTTTTTTTTAAAGCCTTGAAATGGCAAACATATATATTCTTAATTAAATGTAAGCAAAATCAAAAATGCAATTCAAAAATTGAAGAAAAACAATTTAATTTTTCTTAGAATACAAGAATACATTAATACATGCCAGATTCTATATTGAATAGTTGTAATTTAGGATGATGGTATTCTTTTCCACAGAAAAGAACACTTCACATCCTGGACATCTCACAGCAAACATTTATTTATGTCTAGAGCTTACAGAAAGGGTAAGAAAAGCAGCCTAGGGGCACAAGCAAAATTATTTTCTGTGCTGAAAGAATAGATAGTATAGGCAAATTCTGTTTTCTCACCATTAATAATTAGTTTAGTTGCATAAATTAAAAATAACTGAAGAATTCTCAGGGTGAGTAGAATACAACTAGAGCCATTCTATCCTCTTTTATATGCCACCGCAGTGTTTTAATAGACTTCCTCTGTTTTCTCATTTCAGGAAAAAAACTCCACAACATTTCTTATGCAATCTTCCTGTCATTATATCAAAGGAAAAACACCTGCACTTTAGTGTGTCTACTTATGAAAAGACAGGAAAAACCCCTACAAACTGTAGGAGTGAAGCCTTATAAAATACATAATTTTAAAAAGAGTTGTTGTTACAAAGTTATCCTAACTGATTATCTGATTATGTCTAAAGAAGCCACAGAGTGCAAGTTACGCAACACTTTACTATAAATACAGGAATAAAAATATCCCAAAGTAAATCTATAGAACAGAACTGTGAATGTAACTTTTAACTTGCATTTGGATGATGTATCAAATGTTGGAAACCATGATTTAGGTTAATTCTGTGGTGAAAGTGTAGATACTTAAAAACTGGAGACAAAAAGACATAGTTCTTTTAAGAAAGAAAATTGGAACTTAACGAGGAATTTCATACTTCAACCTTACATTTCAAAAAACTCTACTTGCCATTTCATATAATGAGTAGCGCTAATACATAGCAAATCACAAGAATTTGAAACTGCAATGATTTGTATCATTAAACATCCACATAAAAGTGTCAACATTTTTCCTTTCAGCTGAGCCTCACCTCCACATCTTAATGCATAGAAGCTCTACAACAACTAAATTTAGCAGCCAACAAATACTACAAGATTAAAAGTCTATAATCCCCATGTTAGAAAAAAATTAATAATAATTACTTAGAAATACGGAATTCTTCTTCATCAAAATCAAACATCCCTACTGCATTATGTAACTACTAGAAACAAAGCTATGCTATGCACGTTCTGCATCATCACATAGTACATTTGCAAACATACGGTATTGCCCTGTGTTAGTATGATACAGGCTGGTTGGCATGGCCATTGCAGAAATACCAGAAGGCGTTCCTTCATCTTCTGACTTCTCTTCTTCTTCAATCTTTGCTACTGCAGGTGCATCTGATGAGAGCTCATTCAAAATTTTTCTAAAAAGAGAATGCAAGTAATTTTATGTACTTAAAGATCCATACCCATAAGAAAATCAAAGAGCTGACTTTTATCAGACAGTTTTGCTGTAATAACTAAGCTGCCTTTAAAACCAGCAAACCCAAAATGAAAAGTCCTTACCGGTATGAAGGTCTTCTTGAAAGTATTTCCCTACGTTTTTGAGAATCAATTATCACTTCTGATTGTGTAGCTTCATCTGCAATCGATGCTACCTGTAATAGCAAAGTTTCCGAAATTCATAACTTCATTTAAAAAAATAGCTGCAGAGTAAATTTTTTTTTTTTAAGATTCCTTCCATGTTTACATATGGGAAGTTTGTCAAGTTATTTATCACTAATCATGTGATTTTGGACTACTTTTTCCAATGCAAATTGCAAATTCTGAAGTTACCCAGACACAGCCACTCAGATAACATCTACCATTTGAAAAAGGAAAAAGTCAATAAAATCCAGGTTACTTTTTTGTAAATGACACTTAGAAAAAGTACTGGAAACAGACTTCTTTAAATATAAAAATATTATACAATTTAATTAACTCTTAAAGTGAAGTCAAACATCTAAAATACAGTATACTGCACTAATGTACCTTAAATGATAGTATACAATACAAAAGTTTCTTCATACCACACCAAAGCTATTTAAAAAATAACTTTCTTTAAATACACACATTTATTAGACTTACTAATACATTCATAAATGCAAAGGCATTGTTTAGCAATGTTGTACAAGTTTTAGAAGTGCCTTAGAAATCCACAGTATATAATTTTCTCAGACCTTTAATATTTTCATATATTCTTCTTCTCTTAAAATTACTCCAGACAATATTAAGGCCTAGGGCTGAATCACACTCTTGACCAGCACCTATCTTACTACACAGAACTGAAAGTCATTATTGAACAAGGAAAAGGCATTATTTTCTTCAATTCTTTTAACTACTCAAAACTACTGCTGTGCTGAGATTTCCAAATTGAAATAGTGTGAAAATCTTTTCACATGAAGACAGACCAGACTGCAGTTTCAGATTAAGCACTTTGTTAAACTAACACTGAACAAACATGATGCAAGAGATTAGAAGACTTCAAGTGTTTGAACCAGATGCAGTGGAAGCTCAGGGAATACAAGGAAGAGCTCTGGAATTAATGCATCTGCCACTCCTCAGTGTTTGGTACTAGAAACAAAATCTGCCTGACCTCAACAGAAAATGACTCTCTGGAAGGTTCTGGAAATTTCTAGGCATGGGTCAGCTCAACTCAAACCTTTAGAAAACCACCTTGAAGGAACTGCAGGTTATTGCAGAACAAAATTATCTCTTGTTAATTTTATTACATTACACTTTTGTGTAAAAATATTTAATGTAGCCTCATTTGGCTGGGTAATATGCAACAAACATCATTAGAACTCTACGTCTGCTACCTAGGTGGTGAGAGTTACTTCTGCACGTGTACAGATGCATAGCTCCAAACCAGACATCAGAGCTGACTGCAGAGATACAGGTGCTTCAAGAAATTTGTATTCCTCATTTTGCAGGAGAGACCAATACTGAGCAGCGGAAAGAAATCCTGAAAGACATTTCCATCCCAATGTGCCTTCAGCAATCTCCTCATGGATCAACCTTCAAGCCTCTGGCATAATCCTTCAGAAATAAGATTGTATGGCCAGCCAAGAAAGAGCCTGGGCATGCCGACTCAAAAGAGAATTTTCATTCTACTGGGGCCTGGGGATTAATAAATAATCTATTTGTCCCAGGAAAAATAGCTTGAAAACAAGACCTCAATTGTCTTTAAATTGTCACATTATCCTAACAGCTACAAAGAGACCCCCTAGGTTGTGAAGATGGCTGAAGAAGTTGGGAGCAGTCATACTTTAGGAAGAAGGTAAGGAAATTACAAGATGATTTAAGCATGTTAATGTGTGTATTGGTTTTGCACAGCACAGTTTTTGGTAGCAGAGGGGATGCAGAGGCGGCTTCTGTGAGAAGTTGCTAGAAGCTTCCTTGATGTCCATTTGAGCCAATCCCCGATGGCTCTGCAGATGGATGTACCACTGGCCAAGCCTGGGCCAATTAGAGATGGTGGCAATGCCTCTGTGTTAACACATTTAGGAAGAAATCAAAACAGTTTCAATTCTAGCCAGAAAAGAGGAGGAGGTGAGAAGGTGAGAACATGTGAGGGAAACAACATGTAGACACCAAGGTCAGTGGAGGAAGAGGTGCTCTAGATGCTGGAGCTGAGATTCCTCTGCAGGCCGTGGTGAGACCACGGCGAAGTAGCTGTGCATGGATCCTGGGGATCCATGGTGGATGCAGAGATCCCCCCAGAGCCCGTGGGGCAGGTGCCCATGCCAGAGCAGGTGGATGCCTGGAGGAGGCTGTGGTCCAGCAGTAAACTCATGGAGAGACAGGTCTTGCTCCCAAGTTGGAACAGGCTGTCCTTGGAGGACTGCACCCTGTGGAAGAGTGACCCATGCCACAGCAGTTTTGGGAGCAGGGTTTGCCCGTGGGAGGAACTCACATGCAGCAGTTTTGGGAGGACTGCTGCTCAAGAGATTGGAGCCATGCTGGAGAAGTTAACTGAGAACTGTCTCCCGTGGGAGGGACCCCAGAGTCTCACTGGGGAACAACTTCTCTCCCTGTGCAGCAGAGGAAAGCCTTGGGTGACAAACTGACCAAAACCACCACACTTTGTCTCCCTGCACTGTCAGTGGGAAGGAGGGAGAGGCTGGAGGAAAAAAGGTGTCTTCAAGGGCTTATTTTACTTCTCATTATCCTGCTCTGATTTTGTTAGTTATAAATTCACTTTATATCTTTAAGTTGAGCCTGTTTTGCCATCAGAGTGTTTTCTCCTGGTCCTTATCTCAACTCATTAAACCCTTTGTTAAATTTTCTCTCCTCTGCCCAGCTGTAGCAGGAGAGGGTTAGTGAACAACTTTCACGGGGGCCTGGAATTTGGCCAGTGTCAAACCACCACAATGTGGAAGAGGACATTTTCTGCAAGAAATTTCAAAAGCTTTAATTTTCATCATGACAAAGAGAGAAATGAACACTTCAGATCACTCTAATGGCAAACAACCATGTCCATACTGTTAACAAACAAACCTTTGTAATTTTTTCCTGAACATCGTTCAGATTTTGACTTTACCTATTTCAGCTTCATCTGCATTTGAACAAATTTAACTTCAAACTCGTGTTAAGTCTTTCCAAGACCTGATGCAATACAGGGGGGAGCAAGCAATAAGTCAAATAACAATTTAAATCTTCCTACAAATAAAACAACATTTAACAAAACAATAAGGAATGCTATAAACATATTTTTTCATCTAAAAAACAAGAGCATTATGAGAAAAACTTCTGAGCACTTTCCAGTTGAAAATGACAGATGTTTGAGGGAGAGGTCATGCAAGCTTCAACACCAACCTTCAGCATACTTCTTTATTTCTTTTTTAAACTGATATAATTTCCCAAGTTCCCCACTGTCTGGAAGAGACAAGGTAGCAAGTTAAAGCCAAATGATCTGGAAGAAACTCCAGGTGGCAGGATAATGTACTGAAAAGGATCACAAAAGGGCTGAACACCCTCTGTAATGGATTCTTCTACAGCATCTTCAAGCCCTTTCTTACCCAGATGAAACCAAAGCAAAATCCTGGAACTAACTAGTCAGTATTAATTGGGACAAAACTTTCCTGTTTCTACTCCTTTGGGAAAGGGTGGACAGCCAGAGTTCACTCAACACAACAAATAGTTGACTTCCACTCCCCTAAGATGACACAGCAGCAGCTGGCAAGAGATTGCTGAGAAATTTCTCCTTCTGAGCTTTGAAAAAAGTCCGCTATCTTTGCATGTATGTCCGGACTACACTGACTAAATGAACAGAAACTGGGAACTAATAATGTGCTTATTGAATACAGGTTACTCAGGAAAATTACAGTTAGAAAGAATTCCAATGGAAAAAAGTATTTACTTTAAATACTCTGACTTCAAGTTTGATCAAACATTGGCACCTACCACACCTCTTTCCATAGTGAACTAGGATTTCAAAACCTTGAGGTCCCATCATCTACACCAACTGCTCAACAATAAAAAATTCATTATGTGATCATGGTTTTATTATTTTTCTCAAATATAAATCCTACTTATATATGTCTTTTTGTTTATTATACTGGAAAGTTACTAAGAATCCTCTAACATTAAAGATGTCTTCTCAAGACCAGGAACACATGGTTTTTCCTCAACATGTTGCAATGGCCACAGGTAAAACCCTTCCTCCTAACAGGGAGAGGTGTATCATCTCTCTTACCAGAAATATCAACTGTATCTGCAAAAAGCAATTCAGCTGACATTTCCCAAAGAGATTTTAATAAAACTAGAGCAGAGGCCTTCCTAGCTACAAGAAAAACACCAATGGGAGACCAAGCAATTTTCAAAACACTGCAAATTCATTCTCTCTTGCCTTTTCTACTTTTTAAAAACTGGAAAGTCTTACATGTTTTGTACCAATCCCTGCTTTCTAGTTCCAGTAACTTCAAACACATGAACATTTGCCACACAAATATGTGTTTTGAGGCTGCCCATATTTTTGGTATCTACATATCCACAGCCACAAAAGCAATACAAGATGCTCTAACAGGGTCTGATAGGGGCTACAAACAAGGAACCACTTGATACAATACACTTACTTTTACTATGCCCAGATCCTTTTCAATAATAAAATAGGAGATACTTCAAAATTTATGAGTCCATAGTCTCATTAGAAACACTATGTTCATAGAATTTAACAAAAATTTAAACCTGCAGGATACACTGAAGTAACACATGTAGTGACACAAATTTGCTATTGCGTAAGTTCAGACACAAGTTCCAAGACAATTTCTTATAAGATAAACAGGAAGCATTAAGGAATTGCTACACAATGCTTGTAGAGCTGCTCCTGGTTGGATGTTTGCCACCTTTCCCCCTGCTGTTTCCTGTGCCATGTGAGTAAATCTTGCAGCAGTGTTTAGAATGAAGAGAAACTGAAGATGGCTTGGTAAGAGAATTATGAGGCACCAAATATTCATGAAAATGTAACAATAAAAAAGCTAACCTGAACAGCTTGCATGTGTGGTGACTGAATGACTGAGGGCTGTGTGGCTTGAATGACACCCTGGACATGAACAGTTTGACCAGAAGGCAACTGCACTAGAGTTACAGCTGGAGATCCTCTTCCAGCACTGGAAGCAGCTACAGAAACCTGCAAAAATTACAATCATCATGTGTAAGTGAGATGCCTTAAGACTTCAGCAAATGCTTTTAGAAGTGATAGCCAAAACAGACTGATTTTGTTGCCACATCTAAAATAGCTTAGATGTACATAATTATCACACACACACAAATAAATTATTTTACTGGTAAAACTACCAAAGGCATGTACCTTTCCAAATGGTCTGGAAAGTTTAAAACTGTACTCTAACAAACTGCAATTATTTGGGTTTTTTTCCCTCCAGAGACTTTGTATTTTCTTTTCAATCAAAAAAAAAAAACCCAACCCTCAGCCATCGCACACCAGATCTGTTGTTGCCAGCATGAAGGTTAGGAAGAACCTCCAGAAATGTAACAAAATCCATGTATATTCACTGGAGTGGAATGTCACTGCAACAACACAAAGGGCAGAATGTTCTTACGAAGAAAAAAATTTAGAACTGCTTTAGTTTTGCTTTGCTTATTAGGTAAGAAGTTATGCTTTTCAGATGGATGTCACAAGAGACATGAGAATTCTTCAGACAGAGAAAAATCACCCTATTAAATAAAGCCATACAAGGATTTGCAAACTGATTTAGTTTAACGGACTCTTGTTATATATATATATATTTTGTAATTTTTGCATATTTACATTGAGGGGTTTTTTTTAATCCAAATATAAAAGCAGTTTTCATTCCTGATCCATAAGATATTGCTTGTCTAGGAAATAATCCCGTTATTGAAGGAAGTGAAAAATTTTAACTACTATTAAGATGCACTGCTGTCAGAAAGTCCTGATGTTGGTTCAAATTACCTTGAAGAAATAATGTTTTTAGGAAAGAAAAAGAGAGCTGGAGTGTATCAGTGCTTCAAACAATAACAAAAATAAAGAACAGCTGAATCTTCTCTAAGCCTAGCACAACCACAGAACAGCTTTCCCCATCCTGTGGCTCTCAGCCCTCAGTGCTGAGGACGAATGGGTTGAGAAACACCTATAGGCTAAGAAATAGTTCAATATTTCTGCTGTCACTGTCAAATCTATTAACAGAAACAAGCAGTGACGCAAAGGGAAAACACTATGATTGGTCTCAATTTACGCGATGAAACATCTCTCAACTCAGAAAAGGAAGACAATGACAAACACAAACCATATCATAAAAAGAAATACTGTGTTTTTCAATTAAACTGCACTGAAAAGTCTTATTTCTATATTCTGCAATTCAACAATAAAATCAGACTCAAATATAAAATTCTGTTATTATTCCCTTCCTAGCTTTGTCCACAGCTTCAAAGGTATCTGGTATGAGCAGTAAACACAAAATGAGATGAGAGTAAGAAGAAAAACATGGAGAATGCTGAATATTAAAAAAAAAAAAAAAAAGGAAAAAGCTAAAAATTAAAAAAAAAAAAAAAAAAAAGTTAAAGAAACTTTTGTAATTTTTGCATATTTACATTGAGGGGTTTTTTTTAATCCAAATATAAAAGCAGTTTTCATTCCTGATCCATAAGATATTGCTTGTCTAGGAAATAATCCCGTTATTGAAGGAAGTGAAAAATTTTAACTACTATTAAGATGCACTGCTGTCAGAAAGTCCTGATGTTGGTTCAAATTACCTTGGAGAAATAATGTTTTTAGGAAACAAAGACAGTGTCAACATTCACTATGTAATTGTTCAATGTTGTAGGAAACTGAACCACTTTTCAGAAAACAGAACAATTGAGGGCATTTTTAACCCTGAAATGAGTTCCTTAAATCATTCTTTAAATGGCATGAAAGAGTAACAGGGAAACAGGACATACAAACCTTCTTCCCAACCTATTCAACAAATATCAATATTACAAGAAATTTATCAGAAATAGATATTTGAGACTAAGCTCCAGAAAGTCTCAAAGAGCTGAAGAGTATGATCTATTTTGTGGCAAAGCTTACATCCCAAACCCAAGCTTCAAGCAGCAATCACAGAGCAGTCTAAATGTTTACAAAGCATGCTAACTTTTCAAAACATTGTAAAGGCAATTTTACTAAACCTTTCCATTTACTGCTATCTATCTTTGTGAGAATTGTCATTTGACACAATACTCAGTGGGTCAGAAAGAACTTTCTGAGTACAGCCATAAAACAGTAAAAGGTGAACAGTTTACAAGTTTCTTTTTGGTGCACAATGGGTCTGTCACACATAATCAGGAAATAACCCAGTACTAGAGATTAAGAAACTACATTCATTTTAAAGCTCCTTATTCAGTATAACCCCACAGGGAAAAAAAAAAAAAAAAAAAAAAAAAAAAAAAAAAAAAATAAAGAAAACTTCATTCAGCCAATACTCTTTTGGACTAAAGTTTAAAGGAGAAATTGTTTTGTTCCCATTAATTCAGATATGAAATTAAATGAAAGGGTTTAAGTGCTAAGGGAAGGAGATGATACTACTATAAAATTTTCAAGGTTCATATTCTGCATCTCTTTTATAGATATTGGAAATTATTATTAGAATTTTGATTCAGATTTTCCCTTTACAGTTTTGAATCTGAATATTCCTGTGTCAACTGAAATACTAGAACATTTTCATGCTATCATGTGTAAATCCTGACTGAAACAGACATGGCAAAGAAATTTCTTTCTGACATCAGTGATGAGCAATGCTACCTTTAACATCCTTACTTCAAGGACTGTCTGGCACAGCAACTGAAAACAATCTACAGAGGCAAGCCAGCAACACAGAGGCTGAGGGGAAGCTTAACACATTCTATGGGTTCTATGCTCCTAGCCATGCAATAGTCACGTCCAATAGCTTCAATAAATATCAACCATGCAATCCATAACAGCAGTATGGTCCCATATTTCAGGTATTTGGAACTGCAAGTGCTCTCTCTTCTACGTGGGGAGGGAAAGTAGCCAGCAAGAATGACCTTCCTACTGAGGCACACACCCGTGCAGAGAAAGAGGCTGCCCATTACTTATCTAACTCCAAGATACATGGTCCATCTGAACAGTTATCCTGGATGTCCTGAGAATGTCAGATATCCTTTCCCTGCTAAGTACTAGAGAGGTTACCTTCACATTCCTCCCCTCATACCTTCAACACTGCAAAATAAAGAATTCAGGACACAGGCCCATCTGATTTCTGCCCCTGCTTAGACTCTAAATACTACAAGGATTCTAGAAGTAAAGTGAAAAGCAATTCTAGAAAAGGAAAAGTCAAGGCAAATGCACACTGGATTCACCTAAAAAAGGATCAAAGGACCTGTCCCACTTGGACACCGAGTAGCCTCTATGAGAAAAAGCTGGAAACAGATGTTTTGATCAATTCCAAAGCCACTGCCAAAATAGCAGCATCTACTTTTAAGGAAAATAAGATTAGGCTGACTCCAGACATTTGGTGCCACCATACCCTTCCAGGAAGCACAAAATGGTGACACAGCTGCACGGTTATAATCCTCTCACATCAACTTTACTAAATGGCCAGCATTTGCATTTGGCAGGCTGGTTTTAGAGCCTTTACTTAAAATAGCCTAGCAAACTCCCATAGCTCTCAATCTCTAGGGAGTAAGATTTAACAGTTTGATATCAAGAGCCCACAAGGACAACCCCCCCAAAGTGCTAAACTTGAACAGTCCCAGCTTGCAACAGCTATGCACTCCAGGCTCTGAAAATCTCCCTGAAAGCCTCCCTATGCTCTCTGATAGCAGTTCTCACATTGCAAATCCTGACATACGCCTAATTCAGGCCAGCACCAAGAGGTCAGCAGATGGTATCTCAGACAAGGTCAGCAGACAGCCCTACTGATAGACAGCATGACAAGGTTAACAAAAAGTGAATCAAAGAGGAACCCATCAAGATGTAGGATTAAAGAAAAAAAGAAAACACAACTGAAAGTGTTTTTATCAAACCTGAGAAGGGCTAAAGTACATTGATCTTACATTGTTACAGTTATCTTTAGTATAGCTGAGCACAGAGCAACACAGAATGCAGTACGGCTTCTAGAAATCTTGCAAAAGGAACATCTAATTTCTCTTTGAATACTATTGCAGATTTAAAACTTCCAAGATGTAAGTTTGACTACCATCAACACTATCAGAATATTCCAATACAAGTTAACTACTTTAAAAGTACAGCTCTATACATAGCAACAGATGATCTGTGCGTGTCAGACACCCCATGGAGCTCATCTCAAAACAGGTTGAGAAATTTTCCATCTCACACCTCTGCTCTTCCCTCAAAGACATCAAGCTTTTGCACAGGTGTCGGCACATCTCCAACAGCTTCTAAAGACACCTACCAATTCTTACCTATTTATTCTGGCATCTGGATCACAAAAACATTACCATGTCAATTAATCAACTGGCTAACAGTGACAGATGCAAGAAATGCAACTATAAACTGATTCTATAGTAGGACATTTTATTTAAAAAAAATAACCATTTAATGGACAAAATGGTTTGTCCCTTGCTGGTTTCAAATTTACTCATTTTTGCTTTAGTAGAAAAAATAATTTTACTTTCAGCAGCAAAAAATTGCAGGAGAATACAGCACTATCTATGATACAAGCTAAGAAAAAAATGCAAACACTATTTTGTCCTCTACAAATAATGTATAATAGGTCCTTCTTAGCATTGGAGGTTGTCCCATCACACCATAGTGCTCCAGCCCATACATTCTTTATGTCTCCTCTCTCTCCCAACAGGGGAGACATTAAAAATGCTTCAGCACAAAACAATCCCTGCCCTGTGAAGCACCTGGTCCATCCTTTTAAAACTAAACGGCACGTATTTCTTTAAAAAGCCTATAGAGGAGAGGAAAATAAGTCAGCTGCCCTCCAAAGAAGGAGGAAAAAAAAAGTGCACACCTCCTATGTAGTTGTATCCCTCAGCATTTTTCTAGTCACTCCCTGGCCATATAATTCAATTAAATATCAAACACATTAAAAACCATTACATTCCATCTGGACATAAAAACTCCACCTGTATTACTGGAAGGGCAGTCTCCTGTTGGTACAGATGCCCAGAGAGGTTCTAGAGACTCCATCCTTGGAGATATTTACATCCCAGGCAGACACAGCTCTCCTGACACTGCTTGCACAGGCAGGGCAGACTAGACAATCTTAAAAGGTTCCTCCCAAGCTTGACCCTTCTACAATTATTTGATAATACACAGAAAACCACAAATTAAAAGACAGTGTATTAAAATGTTTTACTTCTGACTGACCAAAACCAAGGCTGAACAAATATTTTGTTAGAAAAAACACAAACAAAGCTTCCATCTCCCCACTCCCTTGGAGATATTTGAAAAGGAGCCCTCAGTTTCAGTGATCAGGCATTTTTCTTACTCCCAGTAAGAATCAAGTCATTCTTTGCTACTATTTCTGCATATTTGCAACAAAATTATTAGGAGGGAGGAGTGGAAGTTGGCACAAAATGCCTCAGTCACTTGTAGTAGTTGACCTCTCTTAACTGCACTCCTCCACAGGCCAAAGCGAAAGAAGGGATCTGTGATTCTCTGCAATAGTCAAAATACACAGGCACAGCCATGAATTCCTCAGAAACACACAAACTTCCCATCTGGACCACCACAAAACCAGTCAGATGTCCCATACAGGGGCCTCCAGAGAGCTTTAACCCCTCAACACCCAGGCCCAACTCTCCATGACAAAGCGCCTCACCTTCCAAGCCAGCCACGTAGGCACACAGGCTAAGAAAATCCTACTCATCTTAAGCCAAAGGAGCGTCTCAAAAGGCCTGTCAGCACGAAGTGCTCTGCCTGGGCAGTTCCACCACAACAAATGCCTGGGCAGCTCCACCACAACAAATGCTGTGGCAGCGCAGCCTGAAGGCACTGAGGGCGTGCGAGGGCTGCAGGCCCCAGGAGCCAGCGGCTGAGGAGATGGGCACAGGCCCGGAGCCCAGGAGAGGGACAGCAGCACCAGCCCCGCTTGTCTGGGAGCCCAGGAGAGGGATGGCAGCTCCAACCCTGCTTGTCTGGGAGCCCAGGAGAGGGATGGCAGCTCCAACCCTGCTTGTCTGGGAGCCCAGGAGAGGGATGGCAGCTCCAACAGCTCCAGGACAGCTCTCTGGGCCATCGGACCAAAACCAGGGACTCCACTCCAGACTGTTACACGCAGCCCTCAAACTGAAGTACGTTTTGGTTCGGTGTTAATTGCAGGAGATTCATCAATACTTCAGAGTTACTCATTTTAACTGGAAGGTATGGGACCCATACCCCATACAGCTGAACATTCACACACAGTACTCAAGCATTAAATGCAGACAAACACAAAAAGTGTTATACATGGCACAATACAGGAGTGCAAAAACTCTCCTACAGTGTTAGGGACACCTTTGTCTCTGAATCAACATTAAAAATCCCAAGTGACAGAATTCACAGATGTCTTCTCCAGAGACTACTGCACAAGCCAATATATTTTACACATCAATCATCCTATGAAAATTTGAACAGAACTACAAAAGAAGAAATGAGGGCATGACATCAACAGAGCAAACAAAATAAAATTCTTAAAGAAAAAAAGAAAAAACTGAAAAAGCAATATTCCCAGTGCTGCATGCATCAAAACCAACAAAAAAAGGTTGATAAATATCTTGTGGTCTACTTTGTGTCTGAAGATCTGACAAGAGCAGCTGCTTTCAGTTTTTAAAATGTATCTATAACGTGAATCAAGTCTCTAACATAACAAATACATGGCATCAAATCTTAGCAAATAACTTCAAACCTCCAATGATGAAAAAATTTGGTAAGACTTTTTTAAAATCAGTTTTGTTATTTAACAAATAGCTTTTGAAGATCCTTTTTAGTGGTCCATACACTTTTCTGAAGCTATAAATCTTAAGGAACACTATTTCTCTCAAATGCTGAATATAATAGTACATATTTTTAATGTTTGAGAATTGTAGCTATATAATCTTCTATCCATTAACAACCAAACAATAATCCACAGAAAACATGTAAAGTATGCTTTTAGAAGTCCAGACACTGTCATTGGATACACAGGGATGAAACAAAACAAGCACACATTAAAAATGTACTTGCAATTAAATAAAATACAAAAACTGGAACGAGGAGACAACCATGGCTATTTTTATTCATGTTTCCATTTTTTTTAATACAACACATCTTCAAGATACACAAATGGTTTAGATATGTTTGATCTTGTAGCCACCTGAATTCTTTAAGACTGTATCCCATCTCTATAACAATCACCTTGTGAGAGTGAAAGGAAAAAACCCCTTTGTCTACTGATCACTCTTGTCTGAAAGGGCTCCTAAAAATGTTACCTTTTAACAGACCTGACGTTATATTAGTCCTTTGTTAACTACTGAAGGCATATTTTCCAGTATACCTATGCTATATTTTTTCCTATTTAATACCAAGACTTATAAAATATGAGAATACCATAAAAATTGATAGTCTAAAAATGATAGCAGCTCTGAATATCACTTCATTCATTCTTTTCATCTTTCCACATTCTAACTTACCTCAGATCCTGAGGAAATCTGATTCTGGCCTGGCTGATTCTGAAGGTGACCAGCACTTCTCTCTGTCAGAGAATCCACTGCATTGTCATCCTGTTCAACCATTTCCATGGTCATCAGTCTAAAAGTAAGTACATACATATTTAAATAACTCAGTACAGGGAGGTGTATCAGGCAGCTAGGGAGAGTAATTCCAAACTATTTTCCATTTGGAGCAGACAGAAAATAAATATGTTTCTGTCAAAATGAAGTTCTTTCTTCATTCCCCTGTACTAAAATATTTGCTCATATAGCCAGGAGCTCTAAAACAAGTATTCTGGAAAACTGCAGGGAGGGGCAGTTCTGGAGATAGTTCTCACGGAGGGACAAGCAGAGTCCCAGGGTCCCATGCAATGCTGGCAATGCTGCCCACAGAAGGTCCCTTCAGCCTCATGGGCTGCTACAGCCCTGTTGAACCTTCCAAGATGCCTGTTCCCTGCTGGCATCTACACTTGAGTTGTCTGTAAACTACTCATGGCTCAAGAGCCACAACAATTCTTCTCACTTTACAGGTTTAAAAGTAGGATAGATTTCATTGAAAACTAAGAACTTGCTGACCCCTCAATTTAAACTAAGAGTTTAAACTTCATAAAGAAAACCTCCCAATCTGCTACGTATCTGCTATATAAAAATGCAATTACCTGACAGCTCCTTTTCGATATTTCTTGGCACACTTAGTCATAACGGAAGGTGTGAGTTTTAAAACAAGAGCTTGGATCTCTTCGGCTCCCTTTCTCTCCTACCAAACCCTGCACTGAAGGTGCAACATTGAACAGGTGATGTCAAACATTGCCATGGCAACAGGTCAGTTTACAAACAGAACAGAGACAGGATAGGGTCAGGTAGAGGCAGGCAGGGCGCCCTGCAGGCACGCTCCCACCTACACCCTACTTACACAACCACTGACAGCCTCAAAAAGAAGACATGATATTAGTTGAGAGATGTAAGAGGCAGCAAATCTCGGTTCCCCAGGTTCAGTTTCTGTAACTAGGGGATGACAAGCCTGACTGAGGCCAAAGTTCAATTATTTCAACCGGCTAAGAGTTACTTTGGCTTCTTCTCAGGACTTGCACAGAGAGATGCAAGAGGCAGGCAAGGACTGCTACCTACCTGACTCTGAGGCTTTGGAATTAAGACCCTCTTATAAGTTAACTACATTAAATCAAATTAAATGTAAACCAAACTCCTTTTGTGGCAGTATTTTACAGAACATTCCACAATCTTTGAAGAGAATAATTTTTATTAGGTTTTTTTTAAATCAAAATTTTGCCCAAAGTAAAGGCATGAAAATATGGAAAGATACCCAGTCAAAGCATATTTCTAGCTTATATGCCTCGAATGGTACTCTACTGACCAGACTTAACAGTACTATAGCTAGTTGTAGCAAAGTTGCAAAACAATTCAACATTTTATAGATTGACATGAATATTTCTGCTCAGAGAAATTACATGCCCTATGCCAGTATCAATTCAGATTACAATCATAGGGAGCTATTTTAAACCTAAAATCTTTCTACATTTTTCTCTTGTAGTTACCACTAATTACCTTTTTGTTTAGATAAAAATTAATTAAATATCCACTGAAATTCACCAAAGTGTAACAGCCCTGGGGAAAATGTTTTCACCAAGCTTTTCACCATAATTTTCTATAAGAAGATGTTACCTAATTAAAATATTCTGGTTTTATACATGTGCAATATAATAATAAAGAAGGGAAAATAAGTTATTCCTTTGTAAACTAGAGCCACCCATAAAGTCTCAAATATGAAAGGTCTATGTGGTTCTTGTAAGAATAGGCTTCAGAAGAGCTCATACACCAAGGAAGAAGAAATAATGCCTAGGTACTGGCAACACATTCATTGTAATCTCTTCCTAAAGATGGGAATGCAGTCAGAATCAATTCACTTTATGAAGGCCCTGAAGTATTTTTGTATCCAGAGCCATCTGTCACAGAAAACCTACTGTTGAAAAAAAACCACAAAAAACCAAAAACAAACAACAGAAAACCCAAGTACTTTTATTCCTACTGAATGCATTTCATAGAAATTTTACCCAGAAAGTGTAATTTTTAATCTTGGAAAAAATTTAGTTCCTGATTTTTAGCTTAATTTCTCACTGATTGCAGAACAGTATGAAAATGCATTTACTTCTACTACTTTATCAGGATTTTTCTCCCCAAGACCTTTCATTTGTAGTGCTGCACTAAATTAGCAAAAAGCTACAAAAAGAGCATCAGTGCAGCAGAAAATCTAACAAAGTTATTTCTCATTTTTGCAAAATGCAGTACAGAGAAAGGGGTGTATTTTTGATTATTGATCTTTAATTAGAAAAACAACAGCAAGAACAACACATGTCAGTGGAGCGACAAACATAATTGAGATTTATGATATACTTGGAAAACTCCAGAAGTTATATAGATTTTCCCTCTATAATTGTGTATATTCTGACTCTCAATACAAATGATTGCTTAATTGAAATATTTAGCAGGGTGAAGTAAAGTCTGAAAATTTGACTGCCATAAAATGCAGTCACTACTCTGAAACATAACAAAATACTTTTCCTAGATAAGCTCAAACCTGCTTCTTTTTGACAACCTCTGTGATCAAATAGTGACTTGACTTAAAACAACATCCAAATATAAAGATCCAATCACAGCCTAAAAAAAAATAAAATATATGAAGTATATGAGTAATTTTAAAAGATACATGAGCTACCTTGGCATAAAACTTCAGTGAGAACGATGACTTAAGACAAACTAGCATATTAGTATCACAATTCAGACAGGTTACAAGATTAGGACGGATAGACACAACCATGGGATCACGGAGCTGGCAGGAGCAGGTCAGCTGAAGTCATTTGAGCCCACAGGGTCAGCGGTGGCACAGTCACACTGAGCTGTGCCAGTTCATGTGGGCTTGTGCACAGCACAAACCGGGCACGCCAAGGAACTCCTGAGTTTCAGGCTAGGTTGTCACTGTCTTCAGAGCGCTTTTATAACCTGAATTGTACAGGGGTTTTATTTCCTGTACTACACATCACATCAACATGAATACATCAAACTTTTTAATACATACAAAGAAAAAATACTGAGCAATACTGTATCTATGCTTTTTCTAAAACATCAGCAATACAGACTGTGGAATGAAACTGTTACTAATCCAATTCAGAAAACAGTTTCCACACATATCACACTCAAACAGTCTGCATTGCAAGCAAATTGTAAAATATTCATTGCTATTAAGTTTCCAAGAAAGAAAAACAGAATTTTCCACCAAACCCTTAAAATCCTTTATAAAAGCCTATCAGTAGCAGTACACATCACACTTAAAAGTTTACATAACCTTCCTTCTATTTTGAAAGGAATACTAAGCAAATAGTTTAAAGTAAGTGACCTTGGGTCCTGTTTAAAATTACATTATGTTTTTCTTCATTGTATTACGAATTACATACAAGTTTTAGTCTTATACTCATTATTAATACATCTTTTTCTTATATTTTTATCTTACTTACAAAGACTGAACAATAATTTTAAATACTAGTCTGTATTTTTAAATTAATAAACAAGTTACACCTCTGCACACACACAAAAAGGGGACAAGAATGGTTTTCCGTAATGAAGCAAAGATACCTGCTTCTTCCTACAACATTGCAAAGAGATATTCAGGATCTGGCAGCAAGTTTAACTGTTTTCAAACTTGCAACATTCCAGTATATATAAGCACACGTTTACTGTAGTCACTGAGACTAATGGACAGCAGGTCAGTGATCAGTAGCAGATAATCACTGATTAAGATTATGCATAGAGCGCACATCAAAAGCTTCTTCAACTGCGATCAGATGAACCACCCCTGACAGGAGAAATCTGACAGATGGAATCAGCTAGAGGAAAACAGAAAATCTTTCCTAGAAAATTCAAAGCAATTTACAGCTAAAGGTGTTAATTCTTTATATTTTTGCCCATAGGTAAGAGATGAAGGATAGCATCCCTAACAAGACATGTTCTTTTGCAATAAAGAACACAAGAAATCCTTTCACTCCCCCCAGTACTGCTGTTTGTTTTACATCACTGCATATCAACATAATATTTAATGCCTATTGATGAAATTACACTGCAAAAGCAGACTGCTATAGTATTTTGCATAACTGGAAGTGTGTGACTGCCTAAATAAATACCCAGAGACATTTTTAAAAACAACTTTTTTATTTCAACCATCCTTTATACATGAGGGACCACTTACAAATGTAGTTTGATATACAGGAAATCAATCATAAGGGGCTAAAAAATATGTTTCAGCCCTTGCTCCAAATCTCTTTGAAGGTTCCTATTCACAGGGGAGTTACTAGAAAGCGAGAATGTGAATTTACAAACACCTGTTTTGCATTTATTGATGACCCCACAGTGAGTGTGGAAACTCTCAGAATACACTTCTTTCAGACATTGTGTTTTCTATCAGCTCTGTAATAACTGTGTTACCACCCTGGTGGCATGAAGGACACCAGCTGATAAGGGGATCATAGAATTCAGTCAAGTAAAATGCACAACAGTACAACAGACCCGATTCTGACAGTGTAAACTTTCCGTTTCCAGTACCACCATCACTAAGATTCTTGTGTCTCCTACACTTTTATTTCCCTATTTTCTTCTCTGAACACCTCAGCTAAACCCTAAACCCCAAACACTTAAAACCCCAACGTGCCACTACTCTGAGCACAGGCAATGCTACCTGGCCACCCGGCACCTGCCACCCCAACAATGCAGACACTGCAGCGGCTGCGAGCGCACACGCGGCTCCTTCAGAGGGACCCGACCAGCCCCTGGGCAGGCCAGAGGATCAATCACCATCAGTCCCCGCGGCATCACTTAACACGCGGTTGCACTCAGCACCAAAAATGATGCTATCACAGCAGCGGGGGATGCAGACAAAAGTTTCAAGCAAGACTTCGGACTCACGAAGCCCCCTGTGATCCCTTCCCACTTGTTCTGACCCAGCTCCGAAAGCCCTGTGGGCAAGGTTATAACCGGGAGTAACGGACTGAGGGGCAAACGCCACCGGGCACCCCCGCTCCCCTCGGCCGGGGCATCCCCGCGGAAACCCCAGAACGGGCCGTCCGGGGCGCTCTGCCCGCAGCGGGCAGGCGCTGCCCCCGCTCCGAGCCGCATCGCCGGGCGAGCCGAGCCGGTGCCCCGAGCAAGCGCTGGAGCCACCGCCTGCTAGAGCCCGGCGAACGCCGTGGCTCCCGGGCGGCAGCGGAGCCGGCGCTCCGCGCAACCCTTCCGGAATTCCCGGGACGCGCAGCCGCCTCGGGGCCGCCTCACAGCGCCGTGCGGGCTCTGCGCGGCCGTCCCTGAGCGCAGCGCGCTCTCGGCTGCCGACGGGGACGCGCCCCCACCGCCTACCGCGCGCTCCCGCGGCGGGGCTGAGCCGAGCGCGGCACAGCGCCCCCCGCCTGCCCTGCCCTTGCCGGCCCTGCCCGCCGCGCCGCCCGCTGCCCTCCGCGCTGCCCCGCTCCCGGCCCGCGGGGGGTCGGGCTGCGCGCACACGTGTCCCCGCCCCCTCCCGCACTCACCCGCCGCCCTGTACGTGCTGCCCCCGTCACAGGGGGTGGGGGGGACCGGGCCGGGCGGAGCCGCACGTCGGTCTCACGTCAGCGCTGATGCAGCCGCGCCGCCGCGGGGGCGCCGAGGAAATGGCGTCTGTGGGGCCTCCCAGCGCCAGCGGCCGCGGCGGGAGGCGGAGCCGCGCGCGGGCGGCGGTGCCGGCCGCCGCGCTCCCCGAGCCGCGCTCCGGGCGTGCGATAGCGGGGCGGTGCCGGCCGCTCGCCGCGCCGGCCGGGCCCCGCCGATAAGGGCGGTTGGCTGGGCGCCCCCGCATGGTCCAACCCCGGCCGTCCCCGCGCTGACCTAGGGAAGGGACGCGGCACAACCCCCGGTTGTCCCTTGGGCGGTGCCGGAGCCCTGAGGGACACGGAAACCTGCCCAGAGGCCGCCCCGCCGAGGTGCTGCCCGCCGGTTGTTTTGTAATTCTGCTTCGTAAAAGCACGTTCCTTACATCAGTCATTCATGGTATGACATAGTATTTTACATTTATTTGGCTGAGTAAATCAGAAATTGCCAAGAGGCAACAAGCGGGAGCGACGTGCGTGTTGCCCCGCTCACTGCCACGGCATTACGTCCAAATGTCCTGAGTCACGTCGGGTTTGTGCTGTAGGTGTGAGCGCGCCCTTTGCCGGAAGCGCAGGGCCCGCCGGCTCAGGGTTAATAACGTTAAATGCAATAAATGCGTAAGCCATAAACTTTGTTACTATGGGTGTTTGCACATCGTATGTCTTATTGCTGATCAGTATTTTACAAAGTAGTGTTAGAAGGGATTATACTGCAGTAACTTTTAAATTGGATGTGTATACATCACTGCACATATATTCTGAAGTTACGTCATGTATTTACCCATTTTTATCGTTTGGGTTTTTTCTTTTTCTTTTTTTATTTTTTTTTTTTTTTTTACTGTGAGAATCTACTCAGTGTGCTAAATAAACATGAAAAACCGAAGTTAATTTCACATAACTCATTGTGATTGAAGAATTGGAGGATGTGTGTGTCAGGATTGGTGATAGGTCCACACAGGTCAAACACTCAGTCTTATTCATGGCATGGAGAAAACCTGCGTATTGATTTCCTGTGTTTTTAAAAAAAACAAATAACTCTTATCTCTGACTTCATAAGGGATGAATCATATTTATTTGCAAAGGTTTTGCCTTTAAGCATTTAGTTCTTTCATTTGCTTCACAGGACTTACTTAACACAGCTATCTAAATTGCAATCTAGTGGAAAAAATACAGAATCTTCAATTATCATTATTGCTTGTGCAAGTTTTCAGTTTTCATCCTACATTTCCTTTGTTGAAATATCGAATACCCCCTTCCTGTTTTGAGTTCTGTTTCCCTCCCTTTGTTTGTTGCATATGTACTATGTGTCTGTTCTGGGTTTTTAAATAGGAGTTTCTCTTCCTGTAATTAATTCTCCTTTAAGATTTCACCCATTACATACATTATCGTTTTGCTCATTCATTAAAAGATATGTTTTCTCTTGTCAATTAAAAATATTTGTTAGAATAGTAAGATAATCAAATGAACAGGCAAGTGTTAAACTACTGAGAATTACTCTGCTGAAACCTTTGGAAAAAAATTCTAGTTTTGCCCTGTATACTCAAAAAGCCAAAAATGGCTCTTAGGATATTAGCAGCACCTCAAAAATATTTTTGAAGTTAAAAGTCTTAGTACGAACAGGAAGAAATTTCAAATGAGAGTGTTAAATAATGGAAACCACTGGAGTGAGTTACCTGTAAACAAACTGAGAATTTCCATGAACTCTTAGGGCCTGGATTTGGACAAACAGTTATTTTTTATTAGTTTCCAAGTAAGCCATAAATGCTTTGAAATGTTTAACTAAGAATTTATTACTATTTATACCACTTCTCTCGTAATGAAGTGTATCAGAGGTATAAGTGAACTGCCAGAGTGCCTTAGACCATGGTGATACAAAGATCACGATTTGGCTCTTGGTGCAGCTCTCTGAAGTTGGTGGGCTGGAAGAGGAAGGGAGTGAAAAGGGCCTTGTGTTGTGTTCTTACTGCAGCAGGGCTGCGGTACCGTGTTGGTTACCTCAGGCCAGACCGACCTGTGCCACAAAAGTGCTCACTTAGACTAGAAACAGTTCTCTTTGAATTAGGATCAATGCCTGATGTGAATCCATTTAATTTCAAATGCTGAGACCAAAAGCAATCCATAAGAAGGTCACAGAAGTCAGGATTTGTTGTGATTTTCATCATTTATGAAAGAACACAAACTTGAAATCCAGGCTCTTTGCTGCCGTCAGAATGACTGCCTGAGTTGTCTTTTCTCTCTTATCTCGAAATGTCCATTGTTTTTTGTTTGTTTTGTTTTGTTTTGTTTTGTTTTTTAACTTTGGTGGTCAGAGCCATTAAGTTTCTTTCAACCTGGATCAATTCTTAAGTCAGATCCACTGCACTCTCGCACAGAGAGAAGTACGACCTTAACCAGGGGGGTGATAGATGAACAGGGAGTTCATTTGGCACCAAAAAGAAACATGGTGCTCTTTGCAGAGAAGATAAATATTCCACCAGTGCACATTACATCAGTAGGAGTGCTATCTGTGTAATTTTCAGGCAACTGATTCTACATATGGATCTCACAGCTATCTTTTAAATAGATTTGTTAAGGGGATTGAAAGAATTTTGTGAATTTTAGTTCTAGTCTTATGAAACACCTGTTTAGTTTTCTTGTAAAAAAGTTCATGGATTGTCTTGGCATAAACAATGATAGCACAATGGTTATGCTACCTAGCTTAGTTGTCAATTTCTCTTTAATTAGAATCCAGACATCTGTAGGTAATGCAGGTAAAACTGAGAGAAAAATAGACTGGTATGCTATTGGAAATAATAGTGACACTTAGTGATTCATAATTTCCCCACAGGTCTCCTCATGGACCACTCCAATTTCAGCCAATCATTGTATAACCCTACATCTGCTCTTTCATTGCCTGCAAGGAAATAGAGGGACAAGTGCAGAACTTGCAGCATGGTCACAGGAAAGTGCAGTCAACACACAGCCACTGTTTTCACAATTCATTTTGTGAATGTGATGAAAGTCAGAAGTAGACAATATCTGCATGCTGCAACAGAATCCTAATCAGTCTGGTACAGAGAACAGATTAGGCAAGAGGTACACTTTAATTAATATAAAATATAAGACTAATAATTTATTTTACCTATTCTTTTATAAATTCCTAGCAATGCAAGACAAATATGGATTTCCATTAGCTCACAAATAGACCCAGATATTGCACACCCTTAGAAAGGCAAACATTGAAGAATATTGTAAGAAGTAAAAGCTTTGTAAATATTTTTTAATGTATATAGGTTTTTTTAATAGTTACACATCTGTAGAACTGTAAATATTTTGTAATCTCTCCTTCTCCAAACTGTGTCAAATTGGAAATAAAACTGAGTATGAGTAGTACAAGAACAAATTGATGATCCTTTTATTCTTATTTGCTTCTGTCTATCACTGGAACCTCTGAAAATCAATACTGCCTAAATTAGTGCTGTGCTAAGGCACCACCTTGACTTTTGTGGGTTGCATAAGCCAGAAGCACAGGAAGGAATAGCCTTGAGGAGTCCCAGGTCTGGCTTAGTGAGAAGCCTGGCCTAACAGCTGTGAGGCTTTGCAGTACCTCAGCTAGCTCTACTTTGCCTTGTGTCATGTAAACAATAGGCTTTCTTTATTTGGTAGGGTTGGATGCTATTATTGGTGAAGGGGCTATCAAGTACTATTCTAGGTCAATTTTTAAAATTATTATTACTTTGATTTTTTGGGTTTGTAATTATTTGATTTTGAATAATAAGTTGCAGTAGTGTTACAATATTTTACACTCCAAAGATGAATACTATGTTATAATGTGGTTCGTTTTTGTTCATTTTGTTTGCTTTTTTTTTTTTTTTTTTTTTTTAGGATTTGTAATAAGAAATTTAAGTTTCTAAATACAAAACAGGTATCCCAAGTCATATGCTACTGTCTGGCATGAAGTACTTACTGATGCACCAAAATATAGCAAAGCAAATCAGAGTACGCTAGCAGCTAGACTGTGATCACTTTATTAATCACTGCTTGAACAACAACCCAAATGGCTAAAATGATTTGTGAATGGGTAGTTAGATACCTGGAATGGTGTTTGTAAGTCACGAGGAGAATTGACAGGATTCAGACTCTCTGTTTCCTAATCTACTGGTCCTAGGTCAGGTCTCCAGCACTGTTGCCTCCCCACATGCTGGAGCCAGAACAAACAAAACAATGGAGAAACTTGTAGTCTGACAAATAACTTGGTAGTGTATAAATTTCTGCATACTCATTTGTTGCATATTCATTTAATGAGAGAAATTATTATAATGGGAAAATAATATTTTGACTAAGGAAAAATGTAAGGCATCTGAAATGTTAAAAGAATTGACTGGTGACTTCAAGACATGTAAATAATGATATTTCTGTTACAGCAGAAAAACAAAATGGTAACTTAGATCTACTACATGAAATTTTCATTTCCTGTACTGAACAATGAACTTTACTTATATAACACCTTCCTCATAACATGAATGTAACATGTACTTCACACTGTTCATAACCATTTACAATTTATTGCTGTTTGTAGAGATCATTGAACTTCTCAGGTGAAAAGTACCGGGTTTGTATAAAGCATTATTTTGTACTTATAGCATGAATATTAAATGTCCAAATAACTGCTTTAATTGTATTTAAAATTTGAATACATAAAACTTTACTTTTAAAAGTTTTCTGAATAGGCTGTGTTAAAAGAAGCACACAGAAAACAGTTTGTAGTTGAATGTGAATACACTATGCCACAGGAATATGGATATGCCAATCAGTTGGCATACAACTGTGCCTTGAAAAAGATGTATCCTGTAAGGCACAGTAAGCCAGTGCAGGAATGTGGCCAGCACTAACAGGACATTGAGGATCTACCTCACACAAAGGTGAATGACATCAAGCATTCAGATAATGCAGTAAAAGCCAAACACATACAAAGTGTTCATATTTATTAAAAATATTCAATGAAAATATATACACAAAAAAGAATTTGCATTTGGTTTACACAATGGCTGTAGACTAGATTTTCTAGCAATTGTAGGTTGTTTTTGATGGGGGACCAGATT